TGAATGAACGCCATTAAACTATTACCAACAACAACCGAAAAATGATAGAAAGAGAAGAAAATCCATAGTTGATGGTATGCATTCTTAATCCTGGCAACTTGCTGATTTAAAACTGCGACGATTTTCTGAAGCTAGGTCGCTTCGTTCCATCGCATGTAGGTTTCTTAACGATCTTTTTATGTCGCACCCATTATAGGATATAGTGCCACTAATAGTGCTAATCATTGTTTTCATAATTCGAAGAAAAATAAACTCGTTTCTTTTGATATTAAAATTCGTCAATTTCAACCTCAAAGAATTATCATTGGACAAATATCCTCATTTTTAATTGGCTTGCTATATTCGTCGGATACATTTCCTCAGTGTTTTCGATATTGAGTAAGGAATTATTCAAGTGGCCTTTGAAAATGACTTCAAAGTTTGTTTGCTAAGTTGTCACTTGTGAATATTTCCTAGGGTTAAAAATGTATAAGAAATTGCGTCTTGGGGGATGAAAATTTTAAAAATGAAATGCTCGGTCACTTTGTCAGCTCAATCGTACCAAGTTTTAAGCTTTGGTTACCAATCTTAATTTAAACGTGTTAGAATACCATTTTTTGGTAGTGTAATCAATTCTCAACTAGAAGCTGGAATTAAGCTGGCCATTTTAAAGCTTATAAATTTGGAAAGGAGGCATATTTTATTTATGCCCCGGGCGCCATCATCCCCGATTCTGCTACCCCTGAGCCATTATATCTTCTTTACCAATTTGATTATTGACTTCGATAAAATACTCATAGAAATAGTACTACATCATACATAGTTCAAAATGCTTGAATCATCAACATGTCAGAAAGTGGCAAGATATGAATATCTGCCCAGTGATAATGATCAACAGACCGATTGGCTAATATCACCTGATTGTTCCTTCCAACATAACATCGGCATCCCTACAGGCTTGTTCAGACATGAACTGGCAAAACCGCGACGTTCTTTTTTAAATGATGACGTAAAAAATTTAATTTATGTATCTTGTAATACACGCAAGTTCTTTTTTCTTCGATTTTTCAATTTATTCACGTTTCCAACAAAACATTACAAATCAATCATAAGCCTTTAAAACAAATGTAGAAATGCATGTTGGAAACAGAGGGGTCCACTAAAAAGCAGTGCCTGTATAAGTGTGAACACCTCAAATGATACTTGGGAATAATGAGTGATTAAATTAACAAGTCCGTAACGACCAAAGGAACTACAAAATAAGAAGGGAAGGGGGATGCCAACAGAGATAAGGAAGGGACAAGACAATGCTTTACATGACAAAGAAAGAAGAACGCGGTCTCAAAACAAAGAGTAGACGATGACAAAAAAGAAGTGAGAGATCAGGGGTACAGAAAATAATACAAAATGATGAGCTGCATGTAGGGTTGTGGGGTTGTGCTTTTCACTAACACTGTTTAACAAATGGAGGCGATTTTTTTTTTTTGGGGGGGGGGATTTTTTGTTTTTTTGCGGCGGTTTACCGCGCAATATCTGAACAAGCCTTTAGGGTAAAATGACGTCATCTGTATCCCCGTCAAGATAACACAATTATGTAACGAATTTGAATAGTTCATCGACTGGTCAAATTATTTTCATATTACTTCAAGCACACGAAGGAAAAAAGAGGGAGCTGTTCACAAAAAGAAACGAACACAATTGATTTAGTGCAGGCACATGGATTTTGAGTTGTGACAGTGGTAGCGATAAGTGTAGGATGCTGCCAGTGTAATTGTTACTGGAATAAAATGATATGAATTTTATAAAATATTTTGTCTGCAAATATCCTTAATGATAAAAGGCTATTATAAAAATTGACCATAAAAGCTGTTTCTGTTAAATGTTTTGATATAAATGCTCATGCAAATCTTTAAATGCTTTTCCAAATCTGGTGGCCCAGAAACACGGGTTGTATGCCCTTATTATTAATTTCAATTCAAATCAATTCAATAATGGTTTAATAATGCAATAAAAAAACGTTTGTAGCAATCATTTTACAAGAAAAACAGTCGAAGCTGCATCAATTATTTAATGTTGGTATTATACATTCACTCATTTGAAAAAGATATGAACATGTTATTAAAAACAGTCAGACATTATGCTTTAAAGGTTGATGAAAAATAGCATTCTCAAGCTACGTGATCTGATAAAGAATGAATTGCATTTGCACTAGTCTGAAAAATGATCAATGCAGACTTACATTGGCATATAAAGTACATGACAACAAGACTAGGACTAGGCTTATGTCAGAAAACTAATTTTCATTCTTTTTATGATGCAAATAACAGAACCATGCAACTGCGATTAACTTAATTCATCAAATAAGGTAACGGGCAGTTTTGGAGATGTTCAGTTTGGCAGGTCCAGCTACCTCAGAAATATTATATCAGGGTAATACGACGTAAATTGTCAATACACGGTGGATGGGATTTCTGAATTGGGGACCTGGGCAGATTTCCTCTGTATCGGAACAATTCCTTGTCTGAAAGATATATTATGTATTTGAAATGTACAATGAACTTAACAGTAACTAACTTCTGGTAAAAAAACAACATTAGTAGGTCCATGCTATAATGATGTAAATTTACTCCATTCTACTTTAGCTACTACTTTAGCTCATAGAGATAGAGAGAGTAGAACGAGAGATAGAGACAGCGAGACAGAGAAAGAGAGACAGAAAGAGATACAGAAAGAGACAGAAGAAAGAGAGAAAGGGTGGGGGTGGTATGATTATATAGCAAAAGAATGGCAGAAGTAGAGGAATGTATCAGCGTAATTAAAGAGAGGACAACATATAGCAACTTGCATCTGCTTTTAGAGTGGGTTTAAACTCTCTACGCATACTGTATCACAAAGGAAAACAGAATACCCGGAATTAGATCACAACCAGTATTAAAACACATCACAAGATATGGTTAAGAATGACTGTGGTGACGGGTGACATAATTATGTTCAACTATTGTCATTTATTGTAGTAAAAAGGCATACATTTCCACCAGGGTTACGGTCATTTCAGTTAATGTGAAAGAAATACATCTTTCATCTTTTAACACTGAGGAGGTTGTTGGTAAAAAAAAAAATTTAAAAAAGGAGGGGGGGGGGGACTAAATAGGAGCAATAAAGAGATAAAGAGTTAGAAAAAGACAACAAAAAAAGGGAAATATAAAGAGTGAATTGAAAAATAGAAACAAATCGAGAGAGGAAGCGATATAAAGACAGAGCGAGAGAGAGTGAGAGAGAGAGAGAGGGGAGAGGGAGATAAACAGTGAGAGAGAGAGAGAGAGAGAGAGAGAGAGAAAGAGAGGGGAGAGAGAGAGAGAGAGAGGGGGGGGGGGGGGGGGGGGGGGGGGAGAGAGGGGAGTTAGGGAATGCCAAACTCAAACTAGTATCTACTTAATGTAAAACTGTTATTATGTATTAACTGTTTTCTTGATTTTGCCTTTGCGGAATAATAATATATTATGTATGATAATTGTGATAATTATAATGATATTGATGATATCAATAACAATAACAATAGTAACATTATTATTATTATTATTATTATTACAATATTTTTACAATAATTACTATAATAATGAAGATGATGATGGTGATAATGAAAATCATAATGCTGACGAGAAGGCTTAAAAAGTGGTAAAAGAAAGAAATCCGAAATTAAATCACAACCAGTATTAAATCATATCACGCGATATGATCCCGATGACTGGGGTTATGGGTGACATATGCTCAAATATTATATCATTGATTGAGGTGTGAAAATAAACCTGCCCACCGCGTTTATTGGGTGTGAATATCCACTCTACAATCAATATAAATACGAAAATGCCGAGAAGGACAAGGCTGGTGACTGGTCTTAAGAATTTAGGAACCGTCGGGACCACTGACATCTGTCAAGCCAGCAACCTTTAGTAGAAAGGTCTAGACGCATGATTTGAATCGTTAACAATGAATAAAAGAATCATCATGGATGGATTGGTTAAAACTATTGCAATTTCAACGCAGATGGATATTCAAAAGCACAACTGAGAATAATTTCAGTTTTTGTTTAGACGTGGTTTGTAGAGTTATATTAATTGCAGTATTAAAACACATTGAGTAAAGTTGCCTAATATTCTATACAGGTATGCATTTGAATATACAAATTTGTTGAATGACCAATCATACAAATTATTCAAACATCCTAGGAAATTTTGTTTCCCCCGAGAACCATGAACATTTCCACACCATCCCTTATTACAGTGTTAAATAAAACCGTTTTAGTCAAGCAATTCCTTTAGGTGGTATAGTAAGCACCCGTAAAATTCAAAAGGTGTTTACCAATGCCTTATTACGGAGCCGCTAAAATACTAATGGGCCAGAGGGGATTAGACCACACAGCGAGGTCACTGACAGGTGGTTATCTCATTAACTCAGCTCTCAACTAACATAAGAAAAAGAAGATCATGAGGGACAAACAGGCACCGATTGGGGAAATTTTCTATATAGAGGGATCAAGTAGCTACAAGTAGGACAGTGGGGCTTTAAACTCGTAGTTAGACAATATGGCATGAGAAACGACTTCCGGTGCACTTTTTTTTCAGTGATATTTTCTCCAGTCTCGGTTAATTTTCAAACATTGATTTCATTCTGCTTCCATTCCCACGCTAATGAAAATCACTGCCGACACTTTTAACAAGTCTAACAAAAATGTCGTGCTATAGGTTATGTCTGCCTTTATTCTTTTATAATTATATATAATCTAATTGACTTGCAGTGTGGGAAATGGCAAATGATAGAACAATAGCATTTTGTAATCAATAATGAAAGCAATCGGTGGCGCCTCGTACCACCTTGCGACATGCAAATGCCACGGTTTGGCTACACCTGATTGGTTGATTTGTAAGATCACGTGACTCTTACTTGCGAGACGTGCAGATGTTCCGATTAGTGATAGATTGGGTAATAAAGCACTTTCGTCGTTCAGTTCAATTTCATTCTGCGGTGAGAGGCAGAGGAGACGGGTAACCAGTTTCAAGTTCTTCTTGTGGCTTTGATTTGACTTTTCAGAAACGGACAGAAGACAGTGACAGGAGAGAGGTAGGGTGATCAATCTTTTTAAAACAATCTAAATTTATTTAGCAAACCATCAAATAATAGCCAATTTTTGAAGAAATTTCCTACTAGAAACCGCTAGTAATGAGGAAGAGACATGTTGTATATAATCAGTCTAAATAATATATTCAACAACACTGCTGTTTTGTCGTTGATTTGTTTGATTGATTGTTTGTTTGTGTGTTTGTTTCGATATTTTGTCAATGAAAGGGATATTATTTTCCAAATACGAAGTATGTCGATTCCAATTTTTCCATGGTCATGTGGTATATCATAAGGCTTTTGGAACTCAGGAAAATACATGGCACTTTACACATTATTGATAGGCCAACCTGAGAAATGCTCTGTTGAAATACTTGTTATTTTTTTCCAAATCAAAACATGACGATAACGAATGGCTGGATAGTCCACTTATTATTGTCAGCATTACAATACTCTCCTTCCTTGTGGTCTAGATTAAAACATAGATAACAAAGTACGTGAAGAAAAAAACATGTATACATATTTCTTAAATTCCAGCGCAAAATCGCTACTACATGTATTAAAATAAGTAAACTTACAAAAGCATTTGAGTAAGTTTTTATTTTAGACTAGTGTTCACTTCGTAAAACTGTTCATTCTGTTAACCTTCTCTGATGGTTTTAGTGTGCTAAAGCTTTTTATCTATGTTATCATACAATTTGTAAGATTGGTCATTCAACACGTATTTTATATCCAAATGAATTTTGATAGTAAATCCCGACTCTATATCACCAAAAAATGGTGATATGATTTATTTTTCATTTCGTTATCGATATTATCGTTTGTATTTTATCAAATTCATTTTGGCTTTCTCTGACAACAATGATAATAATAATGATAATTTTAGGAAGCAAAAAAAGAAAAAGAAGAAAATATTTCGGATTCAGGCCAATTCAAAAGCAGATCATTAAACCTATCTAAAAGAAGGCCTGTATGATAGTTTTGTGAAATTTAGTTTCTCCATTAAAGGTGATATATACACTTTAGGCAATGACGACAGATTAGTTGAATTATTCGTAACATTTAAAGATTTATGCACAAATGCCTGACATAGTTTGAAAACGATTGAGGTTTTCTGACCGAATCTAAGATTCGTGGGGTTATTTTTTCCAATAAAAATGATAAGCATTCTATGGCAGCGATAGAAATGTCATAAGTAGAGAAGTAATTTCACATTAAAGTAAAACTTTTCTTTTAAGATGTAGCCATAAAAATCGACAAAGAGAAACGTTAGCAAATATTGACAAGTGAAGCAGGCGATGTAATGAGGTTCAACGCAAGTAATCATTTAATCTGATAGGGACTATAATGATTACAACTCTGGATAATCATCCCTTTGTTTGGGTTTATTTTGCTCTCTTTTTCTTCTCCTCATTGAACAATATGTACGTCACTTTTTATGATTCTCTGCTCTTTTTCAAAACTAATTTTGTTAACTTATCGCTGATTGAGATACTGAAATAGATCACGTTTCTTTGACTACGTAATCTTTCAAAATTCAGTTATGAATGTATTAAGTTTAAATTATTCTTGTGCAAACTTACACCTAACAAGCATTGCTTCTAAGTAGGTTCGTTTTTCATTTCATGTAACTAAATAATTACGCATTACAAGACTTGAACAAAAAATGTTAAGGATATTTCTTTGCTGATATACATCATTACGTTATTGTGATTATCTTGTCATTTTTATATTTTGTGGAAAATGAAATAAATTTAATCTGCATAGAGCGGCTACTACTACTAATCACATATTTGTCACACTTGCAACTTATTTTGCAATGTATATAACCAAAAGAGTCTATGTTATATTTGTTTACTTTTTGAAGTCAGTTCTTTAAATCTTTCCTCAGACAAAACTAGTCTTTTGTAATACAGTTAAAGGCTTAGTCCACTCCAAAAATAATTAGCTTTTAATAGATGCAGAAAAACAAGCGAAACAGAGCAAAAATATTGAGTAAAATCTGATAATTATAATTTTGAAGGAAGTTATGAATTTTTGAAAAAGTATGGAACAATTGAAATCACTAAACAAATTATCAATTTGGTTATCAGTTTCTGACGTCATTGCCTCACTATTTGAATTGCTATATATATTTTTATCCCATTATTCCCTTTTTATCCCCTAAAACTTCATTTCCCCGTGATTTTTGTCCGGGCTATATGATTTGTATCATATTGCGTGGATGACATTTTACAAAATCTTTTATGAACTTTTAAGAATTGATTACATATTCTTAATCAATGATTTATGTTATAAATAGTTTATCGAAATTCACATTTTTCATAATTTAGCACAAATTACTCAATATTAGTGCATCCACACAAAAACATATTACTATCAATATAACTTGGATGCTGGTGTGAAGAAGTAAGATAATTAGGGGAGAAATTGTAAATTTATATTATCAATATAAAGAGAGAAATTAGTGGATAGTGAAGCAATAACGTCACAGACTCATGAGCGAGTTGTCAATTTTTCTTGTGATTTTTAAGGTTTTTTCATGCCATTAAAAATTCTTAACTTTAGTCATTCGATTTTGCTCAAACCTTTTTTGATTAGTTTGTCTATTTTTCTGCTTCTATTGAAAGTAAGAAATATTGGAAATGGACTTGCCTTTTTAGGCTAAATTTCAACAGTAGGCTTTGAAGACCTTGAAAAGTAGAAACGAAAAATGTATATCTTTTATCATTGCGGAAATTACTCGTAAAGTTGTGTGAAACTATTTTCATTAAACGAACGGTAGGAACAGTAGTTCACATCACAATAAATTGATTGCCCTGGGATTTTATGAAACCTAGCTGTCATATATTAAGAAATAAAAAATATTCATCTGACTTAATTCTCGAATTGCGGTGATTATTCGAAACGCTTATTGATAATTATATTTTCTTATATAGCGCCTAACACTTACTTTATCAGAAGTCTCTAAGCGCTCTACAATAATGCAGCATAATTACCCTGACTTTAGCAGAGCAGCTGTCACGCGCTCTGCGTTTCAAGGAATATATTCCTACCAGGTCCCTAATGATTTGAATTGAATTTGATTGAATTTACTTTACCTGGGTGGAGTGTGGCAAAGGCAGATCAGTGTCTTGCCAAAGGACATTAGTGCCGCGGCGGGACTCGAACCGTGGACCATGTGATCGACAGTCCGGCGACGTATCCACTCTACCACGACACCTCTATAAATTCACACCAACGCCCTAAAAGACCATTCCAGGCCACCGGGTGTCAGTCAACTAACCATTTAATATTTATTGTATAAGGTGTGATTTCGTGGGCGAGAAATCTTTCTATCGTGAAGCGATCACCTTTAGCATTGCGGTGGCCCCGCCTACCTATTTTTTTAAGTTTTTAATATTGTTCCAAACTTTGTGAAACAAAAGGAGATTTATCGATTTTGTTTGGGTTAAATCATGGTACTGACAAAAACTCGAAAAGGTCGAAAAGGTTGAATTCTTTTTTAAAATCATTAATCAGAGATCATTTAAACGTTAACTTACCTGTTTGTCTGATTTCCGTGCTTTTTTTAATTTTTTATTGCAGAGCAACTTAAAATTAAGACTAGATTTCCCAATAAACATGAAGACATACCCCAAACGCTGATGCAGTCATGTAATTTCATTATTTAGTCTTTTGATAAACAGTGTAGGCAAAACTTCAACAATGCACCTTGAAAATGTAAAAGTCGAAACGAAAACTACAATCTATATTACCGTGAAATTTACTTCCAACGTTGTAAGACCTTCACAAAGTCGAAACGAAAAATCCAAAATCTCTACCAGCGTGGAAGTTACTTACAAGGTTGTTGGAAACTTTTTCAATGGACAAACTTCAGGAACAATAGGTCCACTCGATTATGAATAGATTGCCCTTGGATTTTGATGAAAAATGCCGCCATTATACAACTGATATACAAAAGAAAAGCTCCATCTGGTTTGATTCTCAAACTATGATAATTTGTCAAGACCAATATTGATTAATAACTTCACACAAACTTTCTAAAACCCTTTTTTAGTCCACCTGTTGTCATATTATTCTCAGTTAACTAGCCAGTAACTGGCTCTCGCAAGAGGTGTGAAATGCAAGGCGAGAATTCACCCCACACTTTTTGACCATATAGCGGCTGTCTAGTTTATTACGGGCACGTCTTCTTAATCTGGACCTTCAAATGATTTGTTGAAATCATTTTTTTTAGAAACAATATAGATTCCCTTTTTTTAGTTGCCCTTTCTTGGTTAAAAGATTAAGTATATTTTTTTTTATATAAGTATAAAATAGTTTACAAATTTTAGATATACAAAGTAGATGTAAGTTGGATATATTTCTTCTTCCTCCAGATAAGAGAAAGCGTACTGACATATTCAAGATAATGGTATGGTGTGATGTGTTTAATTTTCATTATCAGTGCAGCTTGTGTTTCCCCCAATTTTTCTTAGGTAGTTTGTTTTTCATCAAAATGTTAATTTATGTTATTATCATCCTGCAAACGTTTCTCTCTTTTCCAATCACAGATTGTTTTCCCTGAACGGGGTTGTCCATACCCGACATGAACACAATGAACGCCCTGGCGTTTGGCGCTGTTCTGCTGTTAGCTGCAGTCGCGTCGACCTCAGGTACTATATCATTTACTGATTCAATTAAATCCTGTGTTCTGAATGTAATCACTTGACATCTTTAATATTAAATGTCTTCATGCACTTAGGAGATGAAGACGTGTAAGACAGGGAGAAAGAGTGTGAGACAGAGAGAGAAAGAGAGGGAGAGGGGGGAGAAAGAGGGTAGGGAGGGGAGAGAAATAGAGAGAGACAGACAATGATAGAGAGAAACACAGACTGAGATACAAAGAGATACGGTATGGATACATACGTAGACACGATTCTCTTTAAGATAAAGTATTGGCTATAATTAAAACTTGAGTCTAGTACTTGCTTTCGTTTATATGGAGAGAGAAAGAATGGGAGAAAGAAAAGGATGAGTTAGAGAAGAGGGATGCTATAAGAAGAAGAAGATGGTGGAGGGTGGGGAGAAGAAGAAGGAGAAGAAGGAAGAGAAGAAGAAAGATGACGAGGAGGAGGAGGAGGAGGAGATTATGATGATGATGATGATGACGAAGAAGAAGAAGTTATATAAATTGTATAATTCAACTTGGTTTGGATGAGAACTTTTTACACCTGTTAATCACATTCTATATATTTCATTACAGGCGGCGGTAGCACCAGTCAAGGTACGTGTCAACTGAAATCATTTTTTGGTGGAAATGAGTAAGAAAGTCAAATAAAAACAAGCATATGATCAAGAACAAGATAACGTGTAATTTTGTATGATCATTTTTGTCTCTTGTAATTTGATGATATTTTTCATCTCGTGTTATTTCATGATTACTTTTTTTTTCTTCGTGTAATTTATTTTTATTTGTAAGTAAATTTACTGTATTGAGGCCTATACATCACGATCCCACCACATCCCAGGGAAAAGTAAGTTACACGCTTAAGGCACTTTAAATATGAATTAAATAAACATGACATAGCAGGGTTACAGTTCAAGCATAAAGTTTGATGTGCTTGAAGCCCTCAGTTTGCCTAAATTGCTCATGTTTCGCCGTCATCTGTAATTCGCATTGCTTTTTTCTTTATTCGATTAAATCATTAATTTTCCGGCGACTGATCATGGATTCCAGAAAAAAACCTATACTTTCTGCAATGACAAACTGCTCATCTGACTTGATGTGTTATTACCCGCAAATTAAATCTGTGTGCAGTATGAAATTCATTTTTACAATGATGTTTTAAAACTAAAGTCGTTTCCTCACATCCACAGTTGCTGATAATAAAGAGCGATTCTCATACAGCGGCGGAGGTGGTAAGAGATATATCATTAAATTTCTCGATAATGAAAATAATAAGAATAATAATATGACAAAGAATAAGAAGAGTAAGTTTGTGATAACGATATGTTAGAAAAGATTTTGATAAATAAACCATCCAAAAAGGAGAAGAAACTATATGAAAATGAAATCATTTATGCATTTATATATTATTAAATAAATTAAATAAATTAAGAAATTAAAAAAAGGGGGAAAGGAAATATTGCAAAAAATAAAGAGGGATTATCGGTACATATGGCAACAGCATAATTTTATGAGAGTATGGGGAACATATCAACATAAAGTGAAAGGAAATATTATTGAACGTGATGACAGAATGGAAAAGAACGTATAGGATTCCTATGTTAGGGGCGGGGGTAAAGTAATTAAACAGTCCAATGCTTGCCCCAAAATTATTGTTGGTGTTTTCGTATGTTTAGAATAAAAACAGCAAATTGATTAGCCTGACCAAATGGTATATAACTAATTACATAAACGCTCCGCAGTACAAAATGTAAGATTTTAACGAGCCAATTAGTATTCCGGCGTCTATCTTGTATGGCTGCTGTTTTTTAATTTTAATTTAACTCATTGCAGCTATAACTTTTAGAGGCTCAAGCTAAAAAAAAGAAATAAAAGACAATGGAATACGTTCATATATCAAGGCATGTGGTTGCTTATATTGTTTACTGTGTAGTCACACGTCTGCTTTGACATAATGAATCTAGAAGTAGTAGTAACCTGAACTGAATTACAGGAGAAACTAAAGGAATAATTCACTTGATTAATTATATCCTGATGCAGATATTATATTCCGTGATACACTACACACTTATAAATAAAGGTACAATTCTTCTACAATAGCAGCCCCCTCTACCAAATACGCGTAGTTGGATGCAAATCTGCACCCCAATTACAGTCACACCGTCAAAACTAACTCCAGATAGACGTTGAATTAACAGACTTTTACCATTGATTGCCTGGTATCAGTCTCGTCGGTGTGACTGTGATAACACGAAGAAGTGAGTACAAAATAGTGAAATCCTTTTTCATTTAATGTTTTGATTCGTAGGTCTCACAGGCCTGAACGTCAAGCAAGGTGGTTTTACTCAGGTTTCCCACTCGACAAAAGAAAAGACTGTCACCACGGAGAAAGGTAAATAGTATACATGGGTGTAATAGTAGACATAGGAGTACGGGCATACTTTCCATGTGTGTTGTGTGACGTCACTTGCTTGACCATTGACTACATGTGCATGTCAAACATTATTAAAAACAAGTAAATATTACCGAAGAAGGTACATAGACCTACTTTCTCTTGTACCAAAGGTGATTATAAAATATGTTTCTTTTTAAGGTATGACCAACGTTGAAAATGCAATATTTTACAGTCTTCCGTTCATAGGGATTACATTTAAAAAAAGTGTAAATAGGATTAAATCCGGTGGTGAATATGTTATTACATGTGTATGTCATGATTAACATCCATTTTAAGAAGACGTCGTTTTATTTGATCAAAAGATTAGCCACGAAGCTAAATTAATAACCAATGCGACGGGTTTTTCGAATTTGTTTTCTCAAAAGAAACTAGGAAGAGCAAATCAAAAAAGCGGAAAGGCGGTAAGGTGTCTACTCAAGAGACTTCAAAGAAAGGTAATTTTAATTATGATTATATTCTACATAAGTTTTCTTTTCAATCAGAAACGTTATTTTGTAAGTAATTAACCTCGTGCATGATAAGACCTAAGCTATTTTGAATGGGGGCGAAATTTTCTGACAATAATATATCTGAAGGACACTATCTCCAAACCAATCCAATCTGATCCAATTCAGGAGGTATTTGATATAGCTTCCGTTCCTTGGAATCGCAAAGCGCTGCATATATTATTGACTCACATAAAAAAGAAGACCGGGGTCAGGATCCATAAAACCTTACTAGTTGTCAACTAATTACATAGGGTGTAGTTCTTAATAAGTTGACAACTACTTAGCAAGCAAGCTAAGGTTTCATGAATATGAGCCCAGGTGAGGCAATACAATTGACTGTCCTCTAACAAATAAAATGGACTTCAAAAGTTTCTTGAAATGGTCAACACAATCACGATGCTGTCCTCACACTAATAGGTAGCTTGTTCTACAATTTTGTTGTAATTGGTGGGAGAAATATATCTTGCGGATTTTTTAGAGAAACGTTAAGTCTTTACCTGTTTTCATATTTTCTCAGAAGGGCAGATTCATTACAAAATTAATGTAATAACTAATGCGATGGTACGTCTGTCATTTGTTTTCTTCAAAGAAACTAACGGGGGCAAAGTGAAGAACCAGAGAGGCAATACGCAAGAGACTTCACGAAAACGAAAAGGTAACCTATATTAGGCAGCATCAATGAAATTATTACGACCTCACCAATTGCGAGTTTGGTAATGATTATATTTCACATAATTCAGAGATATCATTTTTTCTTGAACAATCGTGTTAGTGCAACGGTAGATGTAAGATCGTCTGCAGGGGATGTGGGCAGTTTTTTCTGACAATAATATTTCTAATATCATTACTTCGGGAATCAGCCTCCATGCCTAATAGGGTTATAGGGTTGAGGAGGAAGTTGAGTGAGGGGTAAAAACCAGTTCCAGAAATTGTTCACAGGTATTTATTTTCCCGTATAAATTCATAGCGGCCTTTTAGATGTTTTGAAAGGGGGCAGGGTGATTCTACCTTTAAAAAGCCTTATTCTCGTTTTTATTTGGTCCATCTGTCCAAAAGCTTTGTTTTCATTTTCATTTTGTCCAATATCCAATAGAGGGCGGCTGTTTCGTCTCCTTGAAACGGTCTCTGAAGTGCAATACGATTAATCATTAAACACAAAATATGTATAACAAAATTCAATAAAGAGGTATCTCACATTTCTTGTGTCTTTATTAGCCCAATTCATTTTTCTCTTCTTATCTCAGGAAGGGGAAAGAATAAAGGAAACGAAAAAACTGAAGTCAAACAACGAGAAGGAAATCGCGGTCGAGATGGAGATGGCAAAGGTACGAATAATGAATCAATTGATTACGGTAAAACGAGATGAATAGAAAAAAACAGGATGAGTAGAGAGAAATCAGGGGCTTTTTAAAAAACAATCTCTTCTCCTCTCTCTCTCTCTCTCTCTCTCTCCATATCTCTGAACGTACATGCTTTAAAGTGTGTTTATTGGGAGTATTATTGGTGATAGTTTTGAAATTGAATTAACCCCCCCCCCAAAAAAAAAAAAAACAAAAACAAAAACAAAAACAAAAACACAAAAACTCTCAAATAAGTATAATACAATCACTACTTTGGAGTGGATTCCACTATAACTGGGGAAGGTTTTCACTCCAGAGTGAGTGAACCCTATGAGACTTCTAAAGAGATCGATTTCCACTCCTCTACATTAAAGGGATAGTTGAGTTTTGGTAAAGATGGCGCTACACAAAAAAAATTGTGAGATAATGAATAAAAAAGTGCAAAATTTGAATGAGCAAATCACCTTTGTTTGATCTAAATCGGTTCATAGATGCCTGAAATATCCATAAATATGACAATTTCTAATATTAGTGGGGCCCCGCAAATGCTCGATAATTTTGAACCAGCAGTTGAATGACAAAAATATGCTTACAGTCTTCAAAACGGATGTTTTAAAAAAGTTGTTGATGATCTCTTTTTTAATCATTATTTTAACACAACATAACATGCATAATTATTTGTTGTAATGGTTAAAACCAATGACTTGTTAGAGTATGCCCTCGTGTGGTTTACGGCTCTTTTTAATTATTAATAGGCTTATTACTAAGTCGTTTGTAATGTTTGGTATACCTTTCGAGCATGGTGCAGTTAAAATTATTAGTGTGTAATATAATGGTGCAGGTTTTGGTTACTAAAATTCAGTTGACCCAAACTGTACACTCTCTACCAAAACCCAATTTCCCTAAAGGCCCGGTCACACAGGGAGGACGCATGGGGAACGCACGGCCAGCGCATTGGAAATTTGCAATTTGGGCCAGTGCGTTGTCGTTCGCTAGGCGTGCGTCATCATTCGTTACTCGTTCGTCGAGCGCGCTGGACCAACGCTGGACCAGCGCTATGCATGCGTCGTCATTCGCTGTGTGCGTCGGCATTTTTTGAGCATGCTCAAAAACGTGCGCCGAGCTCGACGCATGAATATACACGCCAAAGGCACGCCAGACATGCGTGGAGCACACGCCCTGTATACGCACAGCGCGCTAGCTACACGCCGTGCATTTTGTGTCAGCTCGCTAGCTTTTCCAAAATTATGACAAAAGTTAGGCACACGTTCTTTTCCGATTTCCAATGCGCTGGCCGTGCGTCGTAGAACGCGGTGCATGCGTGGACCATTCGTCCAGCGCGCTAGCAACACGCTGTGCATTCGTGGAAGTTGTTATCATGTGCGCTCTGTGTGCGCCCTTTGTGCGCCCTGTGTGCGCCCTGTGTGCGCCCTGTATGCGTCCAGCGCGCTAGCAACACGCTATGCATTTGGTGTCAGTTAGCTGTAGCTTCGACAAAAGTTGGGCGCACGACAACGCACTGGCCAAAATTGCACATTTCCAATGCGCTGGCCGTGCGTTCCCCATGCGTCCCCTCTGTGTGACCGGGCCTTTAAAGAGAGCAGGCATTATAATAATAACACTTCTCTTGCTCATCATGTATGAAAAATGAATTAGGTCTGAATAATTCGAGGGGGGGGGTCGTGGCAAAAATTCTTTCACTTTTGATATTTCAAGATATATGAGAATGCTATCAGACATTATCTATCATATTCAAAAATATATTAAACTGTTTTAGATTAGATTTCAAGCTGGATTTCATATGGAAGTGACAATTTTCACGAGAATAGATAAATTTCAATAAAAATGATTTATGTATACATGTATATATTTATATATATATATATATATATACGTCAATTTTCGGTAGCAACTGCTTTTTTAACAATCGTCGTTGCGTATTGAGGTTTAGATCTATAACATTTTCTATATTTCATTCAACAAATCCTGTAGTTTGTCATATAAAAGATCCAATTACAATACCAATAATATTGACATCCCTGTCTGTCCAATGGTAAGTGATTCTCGAAATGTCTTTGTTTTCACCTCTTCGTCTACCCGAGAAAAAGAAAGGACTAGGGCGAAAAACAAAAAAGACTGAAATCAAAGCCGAGCAGAATCGTGGTCGAAAAGAATTGCGTTACTGAATATTCTCTACTGCATATTACAACTACATTATCCTGACTTGAACTGAGTTACAAAAATTGAATAAGAGGTATTCCAACCTGGTATTCAATCCGTGATTACCATTGCCACTGAACTTGGGTAGAGAGTGACAGGTTTAGATAAATGGCTTACAAAAGGCTAAGCTGGCATTTGATCTTCGACATTTCGCTAGAAAATTAAAGTAAATGGACTAATACATGTATATATATATATATATATATATATATATATATACAACAAACACGAACGCATAGACCTTCAAAAAATAAACTCAAGAGTCATTCAATATCGTCTTGTATTGCCAAAAGATATCAAGTTCGGATCATGTAATATGTCATTATATATAATAATAATAATAATAATAATAGCTAGTTCTTATATAGCGCTTTTCAGGACCGAAAGCCCTCTCAAAGCGCTTTACATATATATTATTACCCCGGTCATAGGATTCAGGCTTACCCGCACACAATGTATGCACATTCTCCACTCCCTGGGGAGCATTCCAGCCAGGCGTCTTTTTTTACAAGCGCACACTTGCTAATCGAACCACATTAGCTTTCGCATCCTACCGGGTACCCATTTAACACCTGGGTGGAGAGTGGCAAATGTAGATCAATGTCTTGCCAACATATGCAACGTTCGCACATTTCAAAAGGTTATGGACGAGACTTCTCAAATTGCCTAAGAATGATTTCTGGAGGAGAACAAAAAACGATCTTGTTCACCACACTTTACATATTTATTCATCAGTTCGAGAAATGACATCGAATTGCGTGCTAATACCATGTTCATATAGAATATAGGAAATCGGTGATATGATTTGGTGCTGGAGTCGAATTTACACCACATCATAGTGGAATACACTCCAAATCGAGAACATGTCTAGATTTTATTATTTCAAAAAGAGTGAATTTCGCTATCATGGGCAATTGGGCATGGTTTTCCACTACAATACAGATTGATCCCGTTTATAACAAAAGAGGATCCTTATTTGTTTTTGGGGGGTCATGAATGACTCTATTTATGTTAAACACTGGTTCCTACAAATTCTAAAATGTATGACATGTATATAGGAATGATAACGTGTTAAGTCTGTGTTCTGTATAAATACAGATATTATATAGCCTATATGAATGTATTACTATTATTATTGGTTTCTAGGAGATCGTAAAGGAAGAAAGGGAAGTACTGAGACGGTGATCAATAAAGAAAGGAGCGGTGGTCGGCGTCGAAGTAAAAACAAGAGTGGTAGGATATCAAGATATTTATCAATATGATTAAGCCCGTGCTCTAAACCCCCCCCCCCCCCTCATTATTTTTTATCATCATTGTTGTTGTTCTTAGCATTCTAAGCGCTGTAATAATTATTATAATCATAATAATCATCATCATCTTTCTTATCAATATTATTACTTTATTTTTATAATTATTATTACTTTATTTTTATAATAATTATTATTATTGCTTTCGTTATCATAATTACTATCATGATTAGTATTGTTACAATTGTATTTATTATCATTATTAAAACATTATTACAAAACTGTGTTATCATAATAAGACGCGCCTACCAATACCGATTTGTAAATTATTCAAAAGTAAAGCTTTTTTTACCCTTTTTCCATAAATGATATATATTTTTTTTTTAAACTTGATTTATCATTTTAAAAAGAAGTCATAATTATAGATGATAGGTATTGACAATTATTTTCTTTGAACACACGCTCAGGTAAGGGATCGACCAAAGGATCGAGCAGTAAAAAGAGTGGAAGAAGAGGTAAATATATTTGTTGATAACTCATTTTCTTTAAATTCTATGATCGCTGATGGATTTAGATGGACTGTAGCATCAGTTATGTTATAAAATTAGTAATACTATTATTAGAATTAGTAGTACTAGTAGTTGTAGTAGTAGTAGTAGTAGTAGTAGTAGTAGTAGTAGTAGTAGTAGTTGAAAAAGAAGTAGACGTAGTAGTAGAAGTAGTAGTAGTAGTAGTAGTAGTAGTAGTAGTAGAAGTAGTAGTAGTAGTAGTAGTAATAGAAGTAGTAGTAGTAGTAGTAGTAGTAGTAGTAGAATTACTTGTAGTAGTAGTAGGAGGAGGAAGAGGAGTAATAGTAGAAGCAGTAAAACAAATTAGTAACGGAAGCGATTATTGCTACTTTTTACATTGTATAAGAAATGTACCACAGATTGGTTGATGAAAAGCCAAATAAAATCAATGTAAAGAATATACTGAAGTAGTTATGTTATATGTGTGGGATGTTGTCATTTGTGTGTGTTTTGTGTGTGTTTTCTGATCGTAGACTGGCAAGAGATCTTGAGCTCTAGTAATGATAGAAAGTAACGTTTAACTGAATTGATGTTCAAGACTGCAGATGTCATTTATACATAGTATAACTATGGTAGTTGAGAAATGAGCAACAACAAAGTATGTTATTTCAAATGATTTAAGATCATTATTATATATGATTTGATTTTTCATTGATACAAGCAACTGTTAATTATTTTATATGATTCTGTTTGAACAACTGTCTATACAGCAAAATCAACGAATCCCCTTAAACCAGTTTCTCTCGAGAGGTTATTCCAATACCAGATTTCAAGTCATTTGTAATCAAATGATTATGATTTGTGTTAACTGCAGATTGGAAGATGTCTAAATGCAGAAGCGGGAGACGACAACAGGTTATTGAGAAACTGGATGAGAATGAGAGTCTGGAATATGAGTTGACGACCTCTGCTGAATCTTTTACCATCCAGTTCTGTCGAAAGAGAGAAAAAGACTGCCTTGAGATTGGTAAGAAAAAAGTCACCGCATATTGTCTTCTCGAAGAGCGTGCGAGAAGGTACAAACAAGGTTACTTCTTAGCAGCTTTTACTATCGCGAGGGGTTATTCTTTTCCTACAAAAAAAATAATCTACACCATGAAAAATAATTGAAATGCAAATATATAAAATGCATACAGCAATGTGCCTTGATTCTAGAACTTTGTATACGTATATTGCCCTTTGATTGACGATGATTTTAAAATAAAGCGAATGCATTTTGTATCTTGTATTTTGTTCTTTGTGTTTTCAGTCTCATTATCATCATCATAAAGAGTGGTCTGTCAAAATGATAAGTTTAGTGACCCTATATCAATTTTTACAACGAATATCTCTCCAAGTATGTTACTTCAATTTTGATTAATTGTTTTCGCATAGCCTCCCCCCCCCCCCCCTCCCATCCAAAAGAAAACCACGGAAAATACTTTCACATGATATTTATCATCAAGGAATACACATATTTTACATAAAATGTGTCTTTTTATACAGTTCTGAGCTCATCTGGTGAATCATCCATTAAGCTTGATGGACAGGATTTGGGCGATCCCATTTCGGACTTCTTTTACAAGAAAGGGGAGAAGTTCTCCTTCACTATCACCTATACATCCCAGAGTGTGGTTGTGAGGAACAGCAAATCAGGATTAGAACTTGTTGCATCGGTCGATGGTGATGAACTTAAGGGTTTCAGGTACTGCTATGGCACTGCAAACGGAGGAGAAGGAGATTCTACATTCCAGATAAGGGAACGTGAATGTAAGTTGAATGACTAAACGAAACAGGTATTGTAGACAGCTTTTAGACGGCTTAAAACCCTATCCGAGAGACGTAGTAATTGCGCATTTTACACTTCACACTAATGGCAAATAAAATGAGACAACGGTGCTGATCTTCATCAAAACCATTATACCTTTTAGTAAGACATTTCCTAATTATACAATTTGTAAATCTTTTTTCCACTCCATGTCTGTCTCACCTTTACTTATTTATTTATATAATCCATCTTGGTTTTATTATAATGCTGTGTTTTTTCATTATTAGTTAATTTTAAAACGCAGAAATTATATGCCTTGAAATCGGCTGTTATGAAAATGATGCCTTTGGAAAGAGAAAATATTCAGTCACTGAAGTTATCACAGCAATTAATTCATTTATTTTGTTTCCACTTCCTTTCAGACAAAATTGTTCATGTTAATTATGATGTATTAATCGCTGATAACTATAGCTGATTATATCTTCTGTTGTGTTATTTCACTTTGTTTCAATAGTTTCCGAATCAGAGATCTCATCATTTGAAAAGCGGTATAGGGGCAAGGGAGGTAGAAAGAGTAAGTATTCATGATTCAGTCAGCACAGCTTCTTTTATTACCCCCCCCCCCCCACCCCACCCCCGGAAAAAAGGGCAGTGTACAACTAAATAGTTATGTCATTGTATAGCATTTTATTCTGCAAACACGGATCTCCCTTATCCATCATAAAACGATTAGAGTCCCAGATGTAATAATTGAAAGTCTAGGAATCTCTCAGTAAAATAAATACAGGGCTCTAAAGAAGAGTTATAATGAGTCTACTACCCTAAGTAAAGATCTGTATGGTTATTATCATTACACTGTTAAGTACCGTATATACACTGGTGCCCATGAAGTTGGTATAATATTGTTCTTACCTCTTTTCGTGATATGAGTGTGCTAATTTGGTTAATTCTTTGTGGATAAATTACCTAAAACTTCTCAGAACTTCAATGGTCACTCTATATGACTCAATAGATTGATTAATCAAGTTGTGAGAAAATATGAACTGTATTTATCAAGAAAAAAAACTACTCTCAAAATCACTTCGTGGAAAGAGGTAAGAACAATTTTATTTTAACTATATTGGCAAAAGTACCGTATGTTTTATATTAATATATATTTTCAATGGTTTATGTTTTTCTGAAGGGGGTGGAAAGAGAGAAAGGGGAAACGCCCAGTCACCTCAAGAAAGGAAGCGTGGCGGTAGGAAGAAAGGCGGTAAGATTATTAGAAAGATGAACCAAATGACATTAATGAACAGAAACAGATTTCGAAGCTGTTCAATATTTTCTCTCACTTTATGGAGTGAGAGTGCGCGCGCGTGTATGTGTGTGCGTGTAAGTGTGTTGGTGTGGGTAGGTGTCTTCGGAAATGCACTCAATTTAAATCACAGACCCAGTAATAGTAGAACAAAGTATTTTCCCGCTTTTCTAACAAGACATCATCTCATTAATAGAGGTTAAATTTAAATGACATCAGTGATCTGCAGGTAAATATTTTGATTTTATGTACATATACATTAATGTACTGAAGATCTGTGTTGTCAATAATATGAAGATAAACTGATACGGACTTTAACCTTTTCAAAACTTAAAGCTTAAGGAAGAACTTCGTCCTCTGCAGCTCCATGTTAGTTGAATGTATATATATTTCCTTATTACTTTGTTTCATTCCAACCCCAAACAATCTTTCTAAATCTTGCCTATAAATATCGTCTAATACATTACATTTCTTTTCTTTGAACGTTTTCTCAGACAAAGACTCAAAGTCGAATGAACTTTCCGGCGGCAAAAAGAGCAGAGGAAGAGGTAAACCTTTGCTAGTTTCCTTGTTTTCATGATTGAAACAACGATGGGTCCGGTCCCGCATTGAAATGCAATTTGTTCGTTTTAAGAAGTTGTATTCGATCACCATCCATCGATATTCTTCATAAATCACAAAGTTAAAATTGTCTTTTTGTTACGCATTTACAATTGATACAATGCAAATATGATTAGTTTAAAACTCAAATTGAGCTGTTTTCAATTCGAGTCATTCGTGATTATTTTAAGAAAGGATATATAAGTTCTTAAATTCCCCCAATATGAAAAGATTTTTATGTAACATGAAAGGAATTCCTTTCTAACAATTACAAACATTTATAAATAGGAATGGATCCTCATATTGTCTGTAGAGGCTCCTAGCCTCATTAGGGAGATAAAGAGTAAAGAAAGTGAGAGGGTTTCGGGTAATATTATTTGATCCATGCGTTGTCTTTAATTCCCCCACTCCCCCACCCCCAACCCATCACCATCATCACCTGTGTTGGTGTTGGTATTATTATAATTTTGATAATTATTTTAATCGTAATCATCATCATCATCATAGATAAGCTTTAACTTATGTGTATTTTACTTTCTTTTTAAAAACTTGATTGTCGTATGCCCACAAATATACAATTTTCACACAACTGCGCCAGGAGTGTCAATTTTGGCAGAAATGGCGCATTATAAATGTTCACTATGATCATTCTTTTCATTATCATTGCTATAATTATTAATATCATACACAAAATATGTAATGAAATAGAAGTATAGATATGTGCCTACTATACCGATTTGTATATTTATCTAAAGTGATTTTGTTTTTACCCTCTTTCCAAAAAGGATACATTCGGATTTTTGTTCTTACTTGATTAGTAATTTGATAAAAAATCAAAATATTGAACGATGGGTATCGACAATTATATATTTTCTTCAAAAAATTACTCAGATAAAGGATCGAAAAAAGACAGGAGCAGTAAAAAGAGTGGAAGAAGAGGTAAATATATTCGTCTGATAATTCTCTTTCTTAAAGTAGATATTCATTGATTTTAAATCTAGCTTTATTTTCATTATTGCAAAGTTGAAACTTTGATTCGACAAGGTTATCAAAATTCAATGCTTGGAAACATTCGAAGTAATGATTATTATAAAATACAAAACGCTTAAATACAGCCCCGGCATAGCACCTGAATAGCTCTCCGAACGCTGCTGAGATGTGTGAGATCACAGCAGGGACATGATTTGCACAAGCAGACGATGTACCATGACATCTCACACATTTCCAGTGCCTGTATTTTCATCTTCTCTTGAGTTCTTTCTCTTACTTCACTACCGCCAGGCTAAATGTATAATCTATTGCCTCACTCTTAACCCCGCGCATGGTTTTATTTTGATGACAAATGCAGCGATACAAAAATAAAGGAATCTGTCGCTTGTAAACAAAATAAGACGCCATTGTATATTCAGCTGCAGACACCGCGGTATGTTCGGCGTTTTAAGAGGGAACAAATGCCGTCCTTAATATCAATCCGGGGGCTTTTCAATTTGAAAGGCTGGTTTCTTTGATTGTTAATTAACCCCTATCCTGTGTATTTACAAGCATAAGATTTTAGTTATCAGAATCGGGTCATGTCCCCTTTTGATCGGTTTGACGTGCCAGTACATTTATATACACTAAACTCATTATAATTTTACAAATAATAGCTTTGCAATTATGTTCATTCTTTATGGGATGTCGTCTGCTTGGGCAGTATTGGTCCCTGTTGTGACGTCATTAAAACATCGTTATTTTCTGGCGAATCTCTCGTATATCCCAGCTGCTATGGAGGTGGTTGTATTTTTATTTTTATAAATCACCCGATATGTAGCTGACCTCAAACTTGTACGATGGCCATCTGTTAGCTTACCAGTTTCTAGTGCTACATTAGTTGACATATTTGTGATTTTCTTTGAATTCACCTTTAAAATTCTATGTTCGCTGAAGTAGATTGACTGTAGTAGCAGTTGTTGTTAAAGCGTTAGAAGTAAAAGTTATAATAGACTAGTAGTCGTCGTAGTAGTAGTAGAAGTAGTAGTAGTAGTAGTAGTAATAGTAGTAGTAGTAGTAGTAGTAGTAGTAGTAGTAGAGGTAGAAGGAGTTGTAATAGTAGAAGTAGAATTGAGTAGTTGTAGTAGTAGTAGCAGTTGTTGTAATAGTAGAAGTAGAAGAAAAAATGTTTGTAGTAGTAGTAGTAGTAGTAGTAGTAGTAGTAGACAGAGAGACAGATAAAATCAAAGTACAAACTATACTAAAGTATATATGGTATGTGTGTGGGATGTGTTTTATTCGTATATGTTGGGTGTTTGTTTTTTCTGATCGTAGGTTGGCAAAAGATCTTGAGCTCTGGTAATGATAGAAATTAATGGTTAACTGAATTGATGTTTAAGACTGCAGATATCATTTATACATAGTATAACTATAGTAGTTGAGAAATGAGCAACAACAAAGTATGTTATTTCAAATAATCTCAGATAATTATTATATATGATTTGCGTTTTCAGTGATACAAGCAACTGTTAATTATTTTGTAGGATTCTGTTTGAAGAACTGTCTATCTATAGCAAAATCAACGAATCCCCTTTAACCAGTTTCTCTCGAGAGGTTATTCCAATACCAGATTTCAAGTCATTTGTAATCAAATGATTATGATTTTTGTTGACTGCAGATTGGAAGATGTCTAAATGCAGAAGCGGGAGACGACAACAGGTTATTGAGAAACTGGATGAGAATGAGAGTCTGGAATATGAGTTGACGACCTCTGCTGAATCTTTTACCATCCAGTTCTGTCGAAAGAGAGAAAAAGACTGCCTTGAGATTGGTAAGAAAAAAGTCACCGCATATTGTCTTCTCGAAGAGCGTGCGATAAGGTACAAACAAAGGTTATAATTAGCAGCTTTTACTATCGCGAGGGGTTATTCTTTTCCTACAAAAAAATAATCTACACCATGAAAAATAATTGAAATGCAAATATATAAAATGCATACAGCAATGTGCCTTGATTCTAGAACTTTGTATACGTACATCGCCCTTTGATTGACGATGATTTTAAAATAAAGCGAATGTATTTTGTATCTTGTATTTTGTTCTTTGTGTTTTCAGTCTCATCATCATCATCATAAAGAGTGGTCTGTCAAGTGATAAGTTTAGTGACCCTATATCAATTTTTACTACGAATATCTATCCAAGTATGTTACATCAATTTTGATTAATTGTTCTCGCATGGCCTTCTCCCCCCTCCCCCATCCAAAAGAAAACCACAGAAAATACTTTCACATGATATTTATCACCAAGGAATACGCATATTTTACATAAAATGTGTCTTTTTTAACAGTTCTGAGCTCATCTGGTGAATCATCCATTAAGCTTGATGGACAGGATTTGGGCGATCCCATTTCGGACTTCTTTTACAAGAAAGGGGAGAAGTTCTCCTTCACTATCACCTATACATCCCAGCGTGTGGTTGTGAGGAACAGCAAATCAGGATTAGAACTTGTTGCATCGGTCGATGGTGATGAACTTAAGGGTTTTAGGTACTGCTATGGCACTGCAAACGGAGGAGAAGGAGATTCTACATTCCAGATAAGGGAACGTGAATGTAAGTTGAATGACTAAACGAAACAGGTATTGTAGACAGCTTTTAGACGGCTTAAAACCCTATCTGAGAGACTTAGTAATTGCACATTTTACACTTCACACTAATGGCAAATAAAATGAGACAACGCTACTGCTATTCATCAAAACCATTATACCTTTTAGTAAGGCATTTCCTAATTATACAATTTGTAAATCTTTTTTTCCACTCCATGTCTGTCTCACCTTTACTTATTTATTTATATAATCCATCTTGATTTTATTATAATGCTGTGTTTGTCATTATTAGTTAATTTTAAAACGCAGAAATTATATGCCTTGAAATCGGCTGTTATGAAAATGATGCCTTTGGAAAGAGAAAATATTCAGTCACTGAAGTTATCACAGCAATTAATTCATTTATTTTGTTTCCACTTCCTTTCAGACAAAATCGTTCATCTTAATTATGATGTATTAATCGCTGATAACTATCGCTGATTATATCTTCTGTTGTGTTATTTCACTTTGTTTCAATAGTTTCCGAATCAGAGATCTCATCATTTGAAAAGCGGTATAGGGGCAAGGGAGGTAGAAAGAGTAAGTATTCATGATTCAGTCAGCACAGCTTCTTTTATTACCCCCCCCCCTCCCCACCCCCGGAAAAAAGGGCAGTGTACAACTCAATAGTTATGTCATTGTATAGCATTTTATTCTGCAAACACGGATCTCCCTTATCCATCATAAAACGATTAGAGTCCCAGATGTAATAATTGGGAGTCTAGGAATCTCTCAGCAAAATAAATACAGGGCTCTAAAGAAGAGTTATAATGAGTCTACTACCCTAAGTAAAGATCTGTATGGTTATTATCATTACACTGTTAAGTACCGTATATACACTGGTGCCCATGAAGTTGGTATAATATTGTTCTTACCTCTTTTCGTGATATGAGTGTGCTAATTTGGTTAATTCTTTGTGGATAAATTACCTAAAACTTCTCAGAACTTCAATGGTCACTCTATATGACTCAATAGATTGATTAATCAAGTTGTGAGAAAATATGAACTGTATTTATCAAGAAAAAAAACTACTCTCAAAATCACTTCGTGGAAAGAGGTAAGAACAATTTTATTTTAACTATATTGGCAAAAGTACCGTATGTTTTATATTAATATATATTTTCAATGGTTTATGTTTTTCTGAAGGGGGTGGAAAGAGAGAAAGGGGAAACGCCCAGTCACCTCAAGAAAGGAAGCGTGGCGGTAGGAAGAAAGGCGGTAAGATTATTAGAAAGATGAACCAAATGACATTAATGAACAGAAACAGATTTCGAAGCTGTTCAATATTTTCTCTCACTTTATGGAGTGAGAGTGCGTGCGTGTGTATGTGTGTGCGTGTAAGTGTGTTGGTGTGGATGTGTGTCTTCGGAAATGCACTCAATTTAAATCACAGACCCAGTAATAGTAGAGCAAAGTATTTTCCCGCTTTTCTAACAAGATATCATCTCATTAATAGAGGTTAAATTTAAATGACATCAGTGATCTGCAGGTAAATATTTTGATTTTATGTACATATACATTAATGTACTGAAGATCTGTGTTGTCAATAATATGAAGATAAACTGATACGGACTTTAACCTTTTCAAAACTTAAAGCTTAAGGAAGGACTTCGTCCTCTGCAGCTCCATGTTAGTTGAATGTATATATATTTCCTTATTACTTTGTTTCATTCCAACCCCAAACAATCTTTCTAAATCTTGCCTATAAATATCCTCTAATACATTACATTTCTTTTCTTTGAACGTTTTCTCAGACAAAGACTCAAAGTCGAATGAACTTTCCGGCGGCAAAAAGAGCAGAGGAAGAGGTAAACCTTTGCTAGTTTCCTTGTTTTCATGATTGAAACAACGATGGGTCCGGTCCCGCATTGAAATGCAATTTGTTCGTTTTAAGAAGTTGTATTCGATCACCATCCATCGATATTCTTCATAAATCACAAAGTTAAAATTGTCTTTTTGTTACGCATTTACAATTGATACAATGCAAATATGATTAGTTTAAAACTCAAATTGAGCTGTTTTCAATTCGAGTCATTCGTGATTATTTTAAGAAAGGATATATAAGTTCTTAAATTCCCCCAATATGAAAAGATTTTTATGTAACATGAAAGGAATTCCTTTCTAACAATTACAAACATTTATAAATAGGAATGGATCCTCATATTGTCTGTAGAGGCTCCTAGCCTCATTAGGGAGATGAAGAGTAAAGAAAGTGAGAGGGTTTCGGGTAATATTATTTGATCCATGCGTTGTCTTTAATTCCCCCACTCCCCCACCCCCAACCCATCACCATCATCACCTGTGTTGGTGTTGGTATTATTATAATTTTGATAATTATTTTAATCGTAATCATCATCATCATCATAGATAAGCTTTAACTTATGTGTATTTTACTTTCTTTTTTAAAAAACTTGATTGTCGTATGCCCACAAATATACAATTTTCACACAACTGCGCCAGGAGTGTCAATTTTGGCAGAAATGGCGCATTATAAATGTTCACTATGATCATTCTTTTCATTATCATTACTATAATTATTAATATCATACACAAAATATGTAATGAAATAGAAGTATAGATATGTGTCTACTATACCGATTTGTATATTTATCTAAAGTGATTTTGTTTTTACCCTCTTTCCAAAAAGGATACATTCGGATTTTTGTTCTTACTTGATTAGTAATTTGATAAAAAATCAAAATATTGAACGATGGGTATCGACAATTATATATTTTCTTCAAAAAATTACTCAGATAAAGGATCGAAAAAAGACAGGAGCAGTAAAAAGAGTGGAAGAAGAGGTAAATATATTCGTCTGATAATTCTCTTTCTTAAAGTAGATATTCATTGATTTTAAATCTAGCTTTATTTTCATTATTGCAAAGTTGAAACTTTGATTCGACAAGGTTATCAAAATTCAATGCTTGGAAACATTCGAAGTAATGATTATTATAAATTACAAAACGCTTAAATACAGCCCCGGCATAGCACCTGAATAGCTCTCCGAACGCTGCTGAGATGTGTGAGATCACAGCAGGGACATGATTTGCACAAGCAGACGATGTACCATGACATCTCACACATTTTCAGTGCCTGTATTTTCATCTTCTCTTGAGTTCTTTCTCTTACTTCACTACCGCCAGGCTAAATGTATAATCTATTGCCTCACTCTTAACCCCGCGCATGGTTTTATTTTGATGACAAATGCAGCGATACAAAAATAAAGGAATCTGTCGCTTGTAAACAAAATAAGACGCCATTGTATATTCAGCTGCAGACACCGCGGTATGTTCGGCGTTTTAAGAGGGAACAAATGCCGTCCTTAATATCAATCCGGGGGCTTTTCAATTTGAAAGGCTGGTTTCTTTGATTGTTAATTAACCCCTATCCTGTGTATTTACAAGCATAAGATTTTAGTTATCAGAATCGGGTCATGTCCCCTTTTGATCGGTTTGACGTGCCAGTACATTTATATACACTAAACTCATTATAATTTGACAAATAATAGCTTTGCAATTATGTTCATTCTTTATGGGATGTCGTCTGCTTGGGCAGTATTGGTCCCTGTTGTGACGTCATTAAAACATCGTTATTTTCTGGCGAATCTCTCGTATATCCCAGCTGCTATGGAGGTGGTTGTATTTTTATTTTTATAAATCACCCGATATGAAGCTGACCTCAAACTTGTACGATGGCCATCTGTTAGCTTACCAGTTTCTAGTGCTACATTAGTTGACATATTTGTGATTTTCTTTGAATTTCACCTTTAAAATTCTATGTTCGCTGAAGTAGATTGACTGTAGTAGCAGTTGTTGTTAAAGCGTTAGAAGTAAAAGTTATAATAGACTAGTAGTCGTCGTAGTAGTAGTAGAAGTAGTAGTAGTAGTAGTAGTAATAGAAGTAGTAGTAGTAGTAGTAGTAGTAGTAGTAGAGGTAGAAGGAGTTGTAATAGTAGAAGTAGAATTGAGTAGTTGTAGTAGTAGTAGCAGTTGTTGTAATAGTAGAAGTAGAAGAAAAAATGTTTGTAGTAGTAGTAGTAGTAGTAGTAGTAGTAGACAGAGAGACAGATAAAATCAAAGTACAAACTATACTAAAGTATATGTGTGTGGGATGTGTTTTATTCGTATATGTTGGGTGTATGTTTTTTCTGATCGTAGGTTGGCAAAAGATCTTGAGCTCTGGTAATGATAGAAATTAATGGTTAACTGAATTGATGTTTAAGACTGCAGATATCATTTATACATAGTATAACTATAGTAGTTGAGAAATGAGCAACAACAAAGTATGTTATTTCAAATAATCTCAGATAATTATTATATATGATTTGCGTTTTCAGTGATACAAGCAACTGTTAATTATTTTGTAGGATTCTGTTTGAAGAACTGTCTATCTATAGCAAAATCAACGAATCCCCTTTAACCAGTTTCTCTCGAGAGGTTATTCCAATACCAGATTTCAAGTCATTTGTAATCAAATGATTATGATTTTTGTTGACTGCAGATTGGAAGATGTCTAAATGCAGAAGCGGGAGACGACAACAGGTTATTGAGAAACTGGATGAGAATGAGAGTCTGGAATATGAGTTGACGACCTCTGCTGAATCTTTTACCATCCAGTTCTGTCGAAAGAGAGAAAAAGACTGCCTTGAGATTGGTAAGAAAAAAGTCACCGCATATTGTCTTCTCGAAGAGCGTGCGATAAGGTACAAACAAAGGTTATAATTAGCAGCTTTTACTATCGCGAGGGGTTATTCTTTTCCTACAAAAAAATAATCTACACCATGAAAAATAATTGAAATGCAAATATATAAAATGCATACAGCAATGTGCCTTGATTCTAGAACTTTGTATACGTACATCGCCCTTTGATTGACGATGATTTTAAAATAAAGCGAATGCATTTTGTATCTTGTATTTTGTTCTTTGTGTTTTCAGTCTCATCATCATCATCATCATAAAGAGTGGTCTGTCAAGTGATAAGTTTAGTGACCCTATATCAATTTTTACTACGAATATCTATCCAAGTATGTTACATCAATTTTGATTAATTGTTCTCGCATGGCCTTCTCCCCCCTCCCCCATCCAAAAGAAAACCACAGAAAATACTTTCACATGATATTTATCAACAAGGAATACGCATATTTTACATAAAATGTGTCTTTTTTAACAGTTCTGAGCTCATCTGGTGAATCATCCATTAAGCTTGATGGACAGGATTTGGGCGATCCCATTTCGGACTTCTTTTACAAGAAAGGGGAGAAGTTCTCCTTCACTATCACCTATACATCCCAGCGTGTGGTTGTGAGGAACAGCAAATCAGGATTAGAACTTGTTGCATCGGTCGATGGTGATGAACTTAAGGGTTTTAGGTACTGCTATGGCACTGCAAACGGAGGAGAAGGAGATTCTACATTCCAGATAAGGGAACGTGAATGTAAGTTGAATGACTAAACGAAACAGGTATTGTAGACAGCTTTTAGACGGCTTAAAACCCTATCCGAGAGACTTAGTAATTGCACATTTTACACTTCACACTAATGGCAAATAAAATGAGACAACGCTACTGCTATTCATCAAAACCATTATACCTTTTAGTAAGGCATTTCCTAATTATACAATTTGTAAATCTTTTTTTCCACTCCATGTCTGTCTCACCTTTACTTATTTATTTATATAATCCATCTTGATTTTATTATAATGCTGTGTTTGTCATTATTAGTTAATTTTAAAACGCAGAAATTATATGCCTTGAAATCGGCTGTTATTAAAATGATGCCTTTGGAAAGAAAAAATATTCAGTCACTGAAGTTATCACAGCAATTAATTCATTTATTTTGTTTCCACTTCCTTTCAGACAAAATCGTTCATCTTAATTATGATGTATTAATCGCTGATAACTATCGCTGATTATATCTTCTGTTGTGTTATTTCACTTTGTTTCAATAGTTTCCGAATCAGAGATCTCATCATTTGAAAAGCGGTATAGGGGCAAGGGAGGTAGAAAGAGTAAGTATTCATGATTCAGTCAGCACAGCTTCTTTTATTACCCCCCCCCCCTCCACCCCCGGAAAAAAAGGGCAGTGTACAACTCAATAGTTATGTCATTGTATAGCATTTTATTCTGCAAACACGGATCTCCCTTATCCATCATAAAACGATTAGAGTCCCAGATGTAATAATTGGGAATCTAGGAATCTCTCAGTAAAATAAATACAGGGCTCTAAAGAAGAGTTATAATGAGTCTACTACCCTAAGTAAAGATCTGTATGGTTATTATCATTACACTGTTAAGTACCGTATATACACTGGTGCCCATGAAGTTGGTATAATATTGTTCTTACCTCTTTTCGTGATATGAGTGTGCTAATTTGGTTAATTCTTTGTGGATAAATTACCTAAAACTTCTCAGAACTTCGATGGTCACTCTATATGACTCAATAGATTGATTAATCAAGTTGTGAGAAAATATTAACTGTATTTATCCAGAAAAAAACCTACTCTCAAAATCAATTCATGGAAAGAGGCAAGAACAAATTTATCTTAACTGTATGGGCAAAAGTATCGTATGTTTATTAATATATATTTTCAATGGTTTATGTTTTTCTGAAGGGGGTGGAAAGAGAGAAAGGGGAAACACCCAGTCACCCCAAGAAAGGAAGCGTGGCGGTAGGAAGAAAGGCGGTAAGATTATTAGAAAGATGAACCAAATGACATTAATGAACAGAAACAGATTTCGAAGTTCTTTTTTCTCTATAGCGTTATGAGGGTGAGAGTGCGCGCGCGTGTATGTGTGTGCGTGTAAGTGTGTTGGTGTGGGTAGGTGTCTTCGGAAATGCACTCAATTTAAATCACAGACCCAGTAATAGTAGCACAAAGTATTTTCCCGCTTTTCTAACAAGATATCATCACACTAATAGAGGTGAAATTTAAGTGACATCAGTGATCTGCATGTAAATGTTTTAATTAATGTACATATACATTAATGTACTGAAGATACAATCTGTGTTGACAATGATATAAAGATAAATTGACACGGACTTATATCTTTTCAAAAATTAAAGCTTAAGGATGGACTTGGTCCTCTGCACCTCTATGTAAGCTGAATGTATATTTCCGTATTGCTTTGTTTCATTCCAGCCCTAAACAATCTCTCTAAATCTTGCCTATAAATATCTTCTAATACATTTTGACATTTATTTTCTTTGAACGTTTTCTCAGACAAAGACTCAAAGTCGAATGAACTTTCCGGCGGCAAAAAGAGCAGAGGAAGAGGTAAACCTTTGCTAGTTTCCTTCTTTTCATGATTGAAAATACGTTGGGTCCGGTCCCGCATTAAAATGCATTTTGTTCGTTTTAAGAAGTTGTATTCGATCCCCATACAGGCATCGTTATTCCTCATAAATCACAAAGTTAAAATTGTCTTTTTGTTACGCATTTACAATTGATACAATGCAAATATGATTAGTTTAAAACTCAAATTGAGCTGTTTTCAATTCGAATCATTCGTGATTATTTTAAGAAAGGATGTATAAGTTCTTAAATTCCCCCAATATGAGAAGATTTTTATGTAACATAAAAGGAATTCCTTTCTAACAATTACAAACATTTATAAATAGGAATGGATCCTCATATTGTATGTAGAGGCTCCTAGCCTCATTAGGGAGACGAAGAGTAAAGAATGTGAGAGGGTATCGGGTAATATTATTTGCTCCATGCGTTGTCTTTACTTCCCCACCCCCAACCCATCACCATCATCACCTGTGTTGGTGTTGGTATTATTATAATTTTGATAATTATTTTAATCGTAATCATCATCATCATCATCATCATCATCATAGATAAGCTTTAACTTATGTGTATTTTACTTTCTTTTTTAAATCACTTGATTGTCGTATGCCCACAATTATACAATTTTCACACAACTGCGCCAGGAGTGTCAATTTTGGCAGAAATGGCGCATTATAAATGTTCAATATGATCATTCTTTTCCTTATCATTATTATAATTATTAATATCATACACAAAATATGTAATGAAATAGAAGTATAGATATGTGTCTACTATACCGATTTGTATATTTATCTAAAGTGATTTTGTTTTTACCCTCTTTCCAAAAAGGATACATTCGGATTTTTGTTCTTGATTAGTAATTTGATAAAAAATCAAAATATTGAACGATGGGTATCGACAATTACATATTTTCTTCAAAAAATTACTCAGATAAAGGATCGAAAAAAGACAGGAGCAGTAAAAAGAGTGGAAGAAGAGGTAAATATATTCGTCTGATAATTCTCTTTCTTAAAATTCTATGTTCGCTGAAGTAGATTGACTGTAGTAGCAGTTGTTATTATAGCATCATAAGTAATAGTTATAATAGACTACTAGTAGTAGAAAGTAGTAGTAGTAGTAGTAGTAGTAGTAGTAGTAGTAGACGTTGTAGTAGTAGTAGTAGTAGTAGTAGTAGTAGTAGTAGTAGTAGCAGCAGCAGCAGTAGTAGTAGCTGTATTAATAGTAGAAGTAAAATTAGAAGTAGTTGTAGTAGTAGTAGTAGTAGTAGTAACAGTAGTAGAAGCTTTAAACACAGTAGCAAAGGAAGCGATTATTATTACTTTCTACATTGTACAAGAAATGTACCACAGCTTGGTCGATGACAAAGCTTTCAAGAAAGCCAGATAAAATCAATGTACAGAATATACTGAAGTAGATATGTTATGTGTGTGGGATGTTTTCATTTGTGTGTGTTTTGTGAGTGTTTTCTGATCGCAGAATGGCAAGAGATTTTGAGCTCTATTAATGATGATAGAAAGTAACGTTTATCTAAATTGATGTTTAGGACTGCAGATGTCATTTATACATAGTAAAACTATGGTAGTTGAGAAATGAGCAATAACAAAAAATGTTAGTTCAAATGATCTAAGATAAATATTACATATGATTTGATTTTTTCAGTGATACAAGCAACTGTTAATTATTTTGTATGATTCTGTTTGAACAACTGTCTATCTACAGCAAAATCAACGAATCCCCTTTAACCAGTTTCTCTCGAGAGGTTATTCCAATACCAGATTTCAAGTCATTTGTAATCAAATGATTATGATTTTTGTTAACTGCAGATTGGAAGATGTCTAAATGCAGAAGCGGGAGACGACAACAGGTTATTGAGAAACTGGATGAGAATGAGAGTCTGGAATATGAGTTGACGACCTCTGCTGAATCTTTTACCATCCAGTTCTGTCGAAAGAGAGAAAAAGACTGCCTTGAGATTGGTAAGAAAAAAGTCACCGCATATTGTCTTCTCGAAGAGCGTGCGAGAAGGTACAAACAAGGTTACTTCTTAGCAGCTTTTACTATCGCGAGGGGTTATTCTTTTCCTACAAAAAAAAAAAATCTACACCATGAAAAATAATTGAAATGCAAATATATAAAATGCATACAGCAATGTGCCTTGATTCTAGAACTTTGTATACGTATATTGCCCTTTGATTGACGATGATTTTAAAATAAAGCGAATGCATTTTGTATCTTGTATTTTGTTATTTGTGTTTTCAGTCTCATTATCATCATCATAAAGAGTGGTCTGTCAAAATGATAAGTTTAGTGACCCTATATCAATTTTTACAACGAATATCTCTCCAAGTATGTTACTTCAATTTTGATTAATTGTTTTCGCATAGCCTCCCCCCCCCCTCCCATCCAAAAGAAAACCACGGAAAATACTTTCACATGATATTTATCATCAAGGAATACACATATTTTACATAAAATGTGTCTTTTTATACAGTTCTGAGCTCATCTGGTGAATCATCCATTAAGCTTGATGGACAGGATTTGGGCGATCCCATTTCGGACTTCTTTTACAAGAAAGGGGAGAAGTTCTCCTTCACTATCACCTATACATCCCAGCGTGTGGTTGTGAGGAACAGCAAATCAGGATTAGAACTTGTTGCATCGGTCGATGGTGATGAACTTAAGGGTTTCAGGTACTGCTATGGCACTGCAAACGGAGGAGAAGGAGATTCTACATTCCAGATAAGGGAACGTGAATGTAAGTTGAATGACTAAACGAAACAGGTATTGTAGACAGCTTTTAGACGGCTTAAAACCCTATCCGAGAGACGTAGTAATTGCGCATTTTACACTTCACACTAATGGCAAATAAAATGAGACAACGGTGCTGATCTTCATCAAAACCATTATACCTTTTAGTAAGACATTTCCTAATTATACAATTTGTAAATCTTTTTTCCACTCCATGTCTGTCTCACCTTTACTTATTTATTTATATAATCCATCTTGGTTTTATTATAATGCTGTGTTCGTCATTATTAGTTAATTTTAAAGCGCAGAAATTATATGCCTTGAAATCGGCTGTTATTAAAATGATGCCTTTGGAAAGAGAAAATATTCAGTCACTGAAGTTATCACAGCAATTAATTCATTTATTTTGTTTCCACTTCCTTTCAGACAAAATTGTTCATCTTAATTATGATGTATTAATCGCTGATAACTATAGCTGATTATATCTTCTGTTGTGTTATTTCACTTTGTTTCAATAGTTTCCGAATCAGAGATCTCATCATTTGAAAAGCGGTATAGGGGCAAGGGAGGTAGAAAGAGTAAGTATTCATGATTCAGTCAGCACAGCTTCTTTTATTACCCCCCCCCCCCTCCCCACCCCCGGAAAAAAGGGCAGTGTACAACTCAATAGTTATGTCATTGTATAGCATTTTATTCTGCAAACACGGATCTCCCTTATCCATCATAAAACGATTAGAGTCCCAGATGTAATAATTGAAAGTCTAGGAATCTCTCAGTAAAATAAATACAGGGCTCTAAAGAAGAGTTATATTAATATTAATGAGTCTACTACCCTAAGTAAAGATCTGTATTGTTATTATCATTACACTGTTAAGTACCGTATAAACACTGGTGCCCATGAAGTTGGTATAATATTGTTCTTACCTCTTTTCATGATATGAGTGTGACAATTTGGTTAATTCTTTGTGGATAAATTGCATTAAACTTCTCAGAACTTCAATGGTCACTCTATATGACTCTTTAGATTGATTAATCAAGTTGTGAGAAAATATGAACTGTATTTATCAAGAAAAAAACCTACTCTCAAAATCACTTCATGAAAAGAGGTAAGAACAAATTTATCTTAACTGTTTGAGCAAGTACCGTATGTTTATTAATATATATTTTCAATGGTTTATGTTTTTATGAAGGGGGTGGAAAGAGAGAAAGGGGAAACACCCAGTCACCCCAAGAAAGGAAGCGTGGCGGTAGGAAGAAAGGCGGTAAGATCATTAGAAAGATGAACCAAATGACATTAATGAACAGAAACAGATTTCGAAGCTGTTTTTTCTCTATAGCGTTATGAGGGTGAGAGTGCACGCGCGTGTATGGGTGTGCGTGTAAGTGTGTTGGTGTGGATAGGTGTCTTCGGAAATGCACTCAATTTAAATCACAGACCCAGTAATAGTGGAACAAAATATTTTCCCGCTTTTCTAACAAGATATCATCACACTAATAGAGGTGAAATTTAAGTGACATCAGTGATCTGCAGGTAAATATTTTAATTAATGTACATATACATTAATGTAATGAAGATACAATCTGTGTTGACAATGATATAAAGATAAATTGATACGGACTTATATCTTTTCAAAAATTAAAGCTTAAGGAAGGACTTTGTCCTCTGCAGCTCTATGTAAGTTGAATGTATATTTCCATATTGCTTTTTTTCATTCCAGCCCTAAACAATCTCTCTAAATCTTGCCTATAAATATCTTCTAATACATTTTGACATTTCTTTTCTTTTAACGTTTTTTCAGACAAAGACTCAAAGTCGAATGAACTTTCCGGCGGCAAAAAGAGCAGAGGAAGAGGTAAACCTTTGCTAGTTTCCTTGTTTTCATGACTGAAAATACGTTGGGTCCGGTCCCGCATTGAAATGCATTTTGTTCGTTTTAAGAAGTTGTATTCGATCCCCATCCAGGCATCGTTATTCCTCATAAATCACAAAGTTAAAATTGCTTTTTTTTGTTACGCATTTACAATTTCTACAATACAAATATGATTAGTTTAAAACTGAAATTGAGCTGTGTTCAATTCGAATCATTCGTGATTACTTTAAGAAAGGATACAAATGTGAACTGTATATATCAAGAAAAAACCTACTCACAAAATCACTTCATGGAAAGAGGTAAGAACAAATTTATCTTAACTGTTTGGGCAAGAGTACCGTATGTTTATTAATATATATTTTTAATGATTTATGTTTTTATGAAGGGGGTGAAAAGAGAGAAAGGGGAAACACCGAGTCACCCCAAGAAAGGAAGCGTGGTGATCGTAAAAAAGGCGGTAAGATTATTAGAAAGATAATAATAATAATAATAATGTTCAGCTTTTCTAGAGCGCTTAATACATCTCGGACGTCTCTAAGCGCTTTACCGATATACTATTATCCTGTCATTGGATTCAGTGCCTGCCCGCTGATAATGTGTACACAATCTCCACTCCCTGGGGACTATTCCAGCCAGGCATGACTTGACGCTCAAAAACTGTTTGACCAACAATGACGGTCGCATCCTACCGGGTACTCATTTTAACACCAGGGCCGAGAGTAGCAAGTGTAGGTTAATATCTTGCCAAAGGATATTAGTGCGTGTTGGGATTCTAACCCTCGACCTTCGCATCTCCAGTCAAGCGCCTTAAACCACTCCACCAAACGACATCGATTATCAGAAACAGATCTCGAAGATGTTTTCTTTTCTTTTCATGTTATGGTGGTGAGATTGCGCACGAGCGCGCGTGTATGTGTGGGCGTGTAAGTGTGTAGGTGTGGATGGGTGTCTTCGGAAATACACTCAATTTAAATCACAGACCCAGTAATTGTAGACCAAATCATTTTCGATCTCATCACACTAATAGAGGTGAAATTTAAATGGTATCGGTGATCTGCAGGTAGATATTTAAATTAATGTACATATACATTAATGTACTGAAGATACAATGTTTGTTGCCAGTAATATGAAGATAAATTGATACGGACTTACATCTTTTCAAAAATCAAAGCTTAAGGAAGGACTTGGTCCTCTGCAGCTCTATATAAGTTGAATGTATATTTCCATATTGCTTTGTTTCATTCCAGCCCTAAACAATCTTTCTAAATCTTGCTTATATTTATCTTCTAATACATTTTGACATTTCTTTTCTTTGAACGTTTCCTCAGACAAAGACTCAAAGTCGAATGAAAAGAACAGAGGAGGACGACGTGGAGGAAGCAAGAAAGGTAAACTCATTGTGCTTGAAAACTCTTCTATCTATTATTTGGTTAGAGCTCTTTTAAGTGTACCAATTAATATCACCTGAACAAATATCTTGATATGCTTTTCTTTAGGTTAACAGTTAAGGAGAATGAAGAAAATAAAGGATAATTTATGATTATCAACCCATTTGAATTGATTAAATGATGTCAATTAATATAACGAGGAAGTGAGGTTCTCATTTTGAAATATGAAATATGATTACGTTTCTTTGAAAGACATAGGTAGTATCGCTGTATTGCTTTTATCACGAACGAAATAGGAAAATATATCTTATAATCTGTTTTTTGAACACTACATGATTGACCTTTATATAGGTGATGTAAGCGGTAATACTATTCAAAGTTACATAAATATAAATCATTGGTTACAACATTTATTCAATTACAGTTCGTAAAATATTGAATGAAACAATTATTTAATGAAAACAAATCTTGTCAGCCAAGTACACATTCATGTAAACCAGGATAACCATAAAGCATTGAATTTTTTCTTTCAATGTAGACTCTAAGAGCAGAAAGGGCGGACGAAATCGAGGTATGACGATTTTTGTTTTTTTAAATCTGTTTTTACAGTAACTTTTCAGTGACAGAAGACATTCAAAGTTCAATTTATTTCTCCACAAATGCAAAACATAGGGAGCTACATAGAATTAAAAAAAATACATACAATACAATAATAGAACATGTACATTATATATAAAACGACTCCAGTTGGAACAATGTATGTTTTAAAAAGAAACAAATCAGCAAATGTGGAAGGGGTAGTCAAAAATCAAAAATGATTTGTCGAGGACTACACATGTTAAGAATAATAATAAAATCTATCGGTGTACATAAAACAAGGACATTACGGGATGGTTATAGCGAAGCAGTGGTGCACTACACGTGCCCCCCCCCCCCCCCCCCCCCACACCGAGCACCCCAATCGAATGACAAAAATGAGGTGAAAGTGAGGGGAGAGATAAAGGGAAAGGAAATTGAGCATGACAATATATACAGACATAAATTCTCGGACTGGATAGATATCGCGTAGTCCGATATAAATCTTTCTGTGTACAGTGCTTGTAACTTTACCAAGACTGGGCCAAATTTGTTATCATGTTGTTGATTCCAGAACTTTGCAGTACACACCAATACTTATATGCTAGATGATCAACCTTTTCTGATGATTCCACAACGTTTCTTTCGCAATGCAATCGCATGACCAGAACTGGTCTATACATTTCAATGAAATATTTCATTTGTTGAGGCAAGACAAATAACATTGAGATTCACAAACGAGGTTGCATTCTGTATTATCATTATCATCATCGTCGTCATCATCACTATCATTATTGCTTAAAATATTATCAATTTTGAGAGCGTATTAGCAATGAGCTTCAAACTACCGTCATTTCGCATCTTAGTTTGTAAAAAATTAATTGAATTCACGCAACCACGGACTCCGAATTTGTCACGAAATGTTTTTGTACGACTTAAATGAGAATATTAATTTCCATTATACTGTAATAAACAAGATTATGAATACAGGATCAAGAATATCTTTACGGTGTTAAGTTTTGGTAGGTAAATTGTTTTTAATCTTAGAGTACCATAATGATTATGCTTTGATTGTTCCCGCCTTTCAATGGCTTTCTTATGGGGAATGTTTCTTCAACGCATTTTGCATGCAAAGACAGATATTTCTGCGCCTGCATTGATTTAATTTCAACTATTATTATAAGACAAAAAATTTAATAATAAACAAGTCAGCACCAGATGTTTAACCTACTGTAGACTATCGGATTTAAAAAAAACAGTTATAAAAATATAAGCCATACTTTCTGTGATTAATGGTAATAATCAATTTAGGTTTAATACTAAGCTTCATTAATTTTGCCATTTAAAATTCATCTTTTTTTTTTTTTTTTATTCATCCCTATATTTTTATTTTTCTAATGATTACTCCGATACAGGTCGTGGAAGATGGGCACACCGGAGAGGCAAATGTAAGCTTTCATTTAAAACACTATTTTCAACATTATTATTTGCATGATAAGTACACGTGTCAGTCACGTTCCAATTAAATTGTCGACTCTTCTCAAATATTTCTACCGTTTTGACGTTTTCATGTTTATTTCTTAATTGGTCCAATTTATCTGGTTTCTTCCAATATTTCTACTCTTTTAATGTTTTTCATTGTTTATTTCTTGACTATATTTGATTCAAGAACACGTAGACATAACATTGTCCTTCAAACTTCCGGGAATTTACATGATATTGAAGAAAAAAATTGAATTAGTATAATAAGCAACCAAAAATAAATATATTAGTACTGAATTACTTTGAATTTTTAAAATGTTTGCTTATCATAAAAGAAAATATAAGCCGTTGTCTGTTAGTCAGGAAACGATAAGCTTAATCAAGAATATGAACAAGAACTACACCCCCACACTCCTCGCTTATCTGCAATATCGTAGATACTGTACAATATGTCACTGTATCTTCTGGGATACTTTGGTTGACAGAGAAGGCATTCATAAGAACCTGACGGGAAAGAGTCTAGAATGAACTCCATAATGATGGCATTCTTTTTCAAAAATTCACTTTCCATTGAATCCATTGGAAAGGTGTACAAAGAAGACGATCTCAAAGGCTTTTCAAGAACCTACCTATAAGGCAACTTCGATGGTTGAGTACTGAAGTGTGCATAAAACATAATGCAAACTTCGAACATAATTTATATTGTCAGGACAATCTGCCAATATTGTTTTCGAAATTGTCCTTTAGTTGATTTCTTGAACTCTTTTTGTAGTGTTTACATTATGAATGCTAATGATTCCATGCGTTATTTCTACTATTCTCTAGACTATCGATGGCGTACCGTCAAGGGTGCAGTGAAGAGGACACGCGCTGTGAGCTTTGACGAACGTCGGAGCGCCATGTCTGTTTTTATCAAGACCAAAGCAACTCGATTCGTCTTAGAATTCTGCCTGTCGTCAGGAGGCAAAGACTGCTATACTGCTTGTAAGTCCAATGCTCCAAAGCCCTCCCCCTACAAACACACAAAAACAACATCAACTTATTGGCCTAGTATACATCCTGTGGTGCTTTCAAAGCAGAAACTACTAGGCCTCGTAACTTTAAAAACAAACTAAATTCATTATCACTGTCAATGCAAATGACTACAACTGAAACAAATCGTTTTACAAATTATGCAAAAAAATGAAAACGAAACAAAAACGTTACCAAACATATTAACATATTGGAACTCTCAACGAACTGGTCATAAACAATATAATTTATGCAATATGTACGTCAGTGATGATGACTTTTTGAAAGTCCTTTCCGAGATGACAACCTTGCAACGATGTATTTCAGTAATAGAACAATCATGCAAAAGTAAGGACCCTCTAGAATATTCCCATGATGCCCCCTTATGGTGCGATTTTTTGATAAAAATATATCTGAGTAGACCTTAAATATTAAATGTATAATGTATAAGGCATAAAAGAGCATATTTTTATTTTCTCCCAGTTTTGTTAGGTGACCTTTGACATGAAATGTCTGTTTGTGAAAACATATATTTAAGATATTATTGTTACATCCTATTAGCAGCATCGTAACTGGATTTTAATATACGTATAACCTACTGCATTCAACAATGAAGTTGAGTTTCACGTTAACAAGAAATATGGGGTTGTAGTAGGTCCTACAACATGATACTTGCTCTTGATCTTCTCTTTCTGTAGCCCTGAGTTCACAGCGTGATTCGGCCTCCTTCTTCGAGTACGGCGGCCAAAGAACGGGCGATAGTCAAGATGGAGCATTCATTCGATTTAAACGAAGAACCAGATTATATGTATCAGTCTCACGTACTAAACTGACGATCTACAATGACAAGGGAGACGATCTCTCAGTCGCTTTACCCGAGTCATCAGTCATCCAAGATGTCTACATGTCCACATCAGATGGGGACTGGACGAAGGTTAGATTCCGCCTACGAAGATGTACGTACAACAAGGTTTCCTTAAAGACAATATTTTGTTTAAACTGAAAAAAAAATATGATTCTATCGGACCCGGTGGAAAACAATGTGGAAAATGGAACCAGGTCCAGAGCAATAGCTGAAGGGCATTTCTTTCAAAAAAGATTTACAGGCAGATCATCTTGAGAACAAACCTCATAAATGTTCTCATCATACGTATTCTCACCATACAATACTGAGCTAAGTAATACGTAGATATGTTTTTTTTTGTAATTCTTATCATTCACCTACATTAATTTACTTATGTGTTAATATTTCCTTCACTATCTCTTTCTGTCAGAGAATAGTTTAAAGGATCGACTGTGCACTGCGCGAACGCTTTGTTTATCATCATTGATGTTGGGGAAATAGTGAACTGATGATGCGGAATGACGATTATGATCTTTGTTATTGTTCTTAAATGCAAACATACTACATTCAATTTGTCATTCTTATGTTACTTTTAAAGATTAAAAATTAATTAAAGTTGTAAGCAAAATGTAGCATGAAGGGAACAGGAACACACATTAGTATGTTTTGTTTCTTTCCTTTCCTGTTGAAACCTTTACATTTTGTTTTTATTTTACGATTCAGCTGGTAGAACCCTTTACAGCTCCACTGGTCCTCTTGCTCGCGGTGCTGCCTTCGAAGATATTGGTTCTAAAGCAACGTCATTCTCCTGTCTAATACGCACCGTGGCCAGCGCCGTCACTTTCGAAATTTGCTTCGATTCTCAGGGAAATGATTGTTACACAATCGGTAGGAATATACCTTAAAAGAATCTACCCTGATACATTCATGTATATCATCTTAACTAATGTATTCCATCAATAAACTTAGGCCTATATCATGATGATTCACAGCATATTATTATGGTGCCATATTTCTGATTAAACAGATTTAAAGGCACATGCAGGCTCGGTCATTGAAGTTAGTATTCAACAATTGCCGGAATAGGTCAATTTTAAGGCGTGTTTTAAAATGTTCTTAATTGTCAATCTCCCTAAGTGAGGAAAATAGTGACTTCCGGAACGAGGAGCAATGGATAAACAGGCGCAGTCTAAAATATCATGATACATTTTGTAGATCAATGTATGTAATGATCCGAATCCCTAGCTACGTTATGAGCTGTTTCACATTATATTTCCTGATATATTATTTTCAAGATCTTTTGCTATATCAAAATTCCCATACAAAAAGTCATGCATGTATTTTTTCCGCTATTTTGTTCTTAAAATGTAACGAGTAAATAGATAAATTAAGTAAATACATTAATAAAACGTGCCCCTGGCGGTAAGCTAGGTCATCCATCACATTCGCAGTATGTGCTTATGTTTAGTATAACATAATTATACCAAATAATGTTCAAAGACTTTCGACTCAATTTTTCGTTTTCTTCTCCACGGCAGAACTGAGCACGCAACCCAAACAGACATCCCGAATCCTGTATGGAGGAAAATTAGTGAGCAACGAAGAAATTGGTATTTTTATTACCCCTAGCAAGGAGTCGAAAATCTTCTTTCGCATCGAGAAACGGCAGCTGGAGATCTGGAATAAGGAACCAAACAATGAACGCCAACTCATCGCTAAAATCCGCGGAAAAGGTCGCAGTTTTAATTCCATTTGGGCCTCTACTAGTGATGGTGAATTCACCGAGCTTCAGATGGTCGAGACTGAAGGTATTTTCATATCTTCTCTTTTTTATTCCCCTTCCACGGGATTCTTTATTTACAAAACGAATCTAATAATGTATTACAACGAGTAAACAATGGCTAAACAGTGATCATCAATGCTAAAAATGACAATATTTCATAATTATAAGCATTACCCAGTAAAATTACTCTTTAAATTTCGAAGCGAAGATTGTTCATTATTTTTTCTAAGCGTCGTATATTAATCTTTTTTGGACAAGTCTTAGAAAATCCTAAATTGTCATTACAAAGCCTATTATCCATTTACCAGTTGAAGGTAAAAATGGTAAAGGTGCCAACAAGGTGGTATGATTAAAATGGTACGGGGCGATAACGTGCAAACGGTGTCTTGTATCATAATGATATTTATTTATATATTTCATAAAAAATGAAATTAATAAAATCTTGTGATATGATATGGTCATATTACGAGATTCTGAATTTGTGGGTGACATAATAAACGTAGGAAAAAATACATATGTCGTTCAGAACACATTGCATGGAAACTCCCACGGATTTCCCTCATAAATAGAGGAGGGAGACTATACGCCATAACTTGGTGGGGTTCCTGGGGTAAACCATTTTGGAATCACAGTCTGAAAAGTGCTTTTCAAAGTTTGGAGTAAAACCTTTAAAAAGAAAGTTGCAGTGATCATAGATGCAGTGAGACAAGGCATGCATTCGCATTTAGCAATTTTCAATCATTTTGAATGTTTCGTTATTATACTGGAATAACACAGACATGAGGGAGAAGTGTAAAAGAAATGTCTGTTTCAGAAAAATATTGTTTCCTTCATCTGGATATTCCAAAGAAATGGATGGATTGTACGTCCTACACCAAGAAAAATAGATTCTTCAATCGCAGCATCCTAAATACATTATCTCTGCGAAGTAGCAGATTGCATTTGCAAATATTAAGATACTTCCCACTCCCATGTCTTTCAGTCATGGACGCTTCTAAACATTAATTGCTTTCAATACAATTACGTATTTTTGTTTTGACCCTGTAAGCCGTTAGAGAGTTTTCATCCACGACTACTCTTGAGAGAACATCGATTGCCACTCAACTTCAATTCCCAGGGCAACTGGTGTTAAGCTTTGCTCTCGAGGCTGACAAGGTCTTCATGGAGTTTCGTCGCCCAGATGGGAAGAGTTATACGATAGGTAAGGCAAACCAAGCACATTCCAGTTGACTATATCAGTTCATTATTGGTATGATTTGCGTGGCAAATATAAAATGATTTTACCATGTTTTTATCTTTATCGCTAAATGTACAGGAGAAAGACTCCTCTCTTTGAGGGGTCATATAAGGATCGCCTTAATTTTGAGTGGAAATCTATTCTTTATACAAAATAACATGTTATAACCCACTCTTAAAAGAGTGATTCAACGTATGATTTGGAGTGGATCCACTGTTATTCGGAGTGGATTCAACTCCAAAAGGAAATTATCCATAATACGACTACTAAAAGAATGTCTTATCATTCCTCCGGCGCGTGGTCCTTTCCTCTCGTTTATTTGACTTTTACTTACAAGAAAAAGAGTTTATAGTCCCTTTTTGATATAGGCAAATCTAAAGTTATCTAGTACAAATAAAAAATATGGTACTATTAGGAGTGTAAATTGAAAGCTACACGGTCGGAATAGTGAACTAGAAACTTCAGCCAAAACGCACAGAGAAATAAATAGCATAACTCTTGAAATGAATGACTAATTTGTATGATACTAATGGATTCCATGCACTAACAATTTATCAGACATTGTAATATCAAGTTTACTATCAATCCTGTCCATGACATTGCAAAAGTCACTCATCCGGAAACGCACCGTAAGATATATTAATAGCACGGATAATTAAATTCATTATCATATAATGAAGTTTGTAATAAATCAATTCCCTCATATTACCAAAGTAAATAAATGAAGTTATGTTTTATCGAAAAGAAAATGACGTGTTAGCATTGTTTTCTCAACCCAGAAAATGATAAAATAAAAATGGTTGCACACTTGCTCCTGCGACAATTTCTCCGCGTCAATTTCCTATAATTTTATACATTAAACAAATTATGAACTTCACCCAATCGGTACACCTCAAAATACCTATTACCTTAACCTGAACCTCTCCTTTTGAAGAAATACAGAAATCATGGAAGGAGCAAATGTCAGTTCACCAGCGAAAAATATGGTAAATATTCAACTACTCTTTGACATAATGTCTGTTTCTTTGGCATGCAGAAATGGGTACGAAAGCAGGTCAGCCATCTGTTATTCGCAGTGGGGGTAGTAACCTAGTAGATCCACAGGACCAACCATTCCTCGAGTTTGGCAATGACATTGACCCACCTAACCAACTCGTCATCGATGTGTTCGAGTCTAGCGTGACTGTTTCTACTGCCCGTGGTCAAAAGATGGTGGCACCTGTTGCAGAAGCTTATCTCTACAACCATTTCGACATTTGGACGGTGGGTGGTGGTATTGCTCTCGCTGTGGAAGAAATCGAAGGTAAGTATAACCAGGGAGATGTGAGTTTAAACATTCTCCCTGGTATAACACATAATGATTTTTTTATTTTTTTTTAAACAAAATCGACATATAGGCATTGAGCGCTTACATTTACCTGCGAATTGGCTTTTACTCTGCCTTCTTTCCTTTAAAAAAAGTATATTGTCAGATACAGGAATTGTTATTAGAAAATGAACGAATAAAGAATGATGCCAATATTGGCAACATAGAGGTTCATTGATTTAATTTGTATCATTGTATTAAGGAAGGTAAGATCAAATAAGGCTATTAGAATTCCCCACTTAGAAACTTTCAAAGTAACGCTTATTATCAATATTAGAACGGTAAATTACCTCCCCACTTTCGCACTTGAAGAGCTCTCCGAACACTGCCGAGAATTGACGTCACTCAAGGGACCAAGTTAGCATGAGCAGACGATGTTCCGTAACAATGCACACATTTTCAGTGCCTTCACTGATTTATCTCACTTCACAAGCTTCATTGAAACTGTTTGATCTGTTGCCTCACTCTAAATTTCGGACATGTTTTTATTTTGATGAAAAACACAGCGTTATAAAAAAAATGAAATGATTATTCTTTTCTTCAATGAAAGTCCAATTTGAAAAAGAAAAACTTGACTGATCATCCTGTCTTAAATGAGAAGATAAGTATATCAATCAACATTGATTGCTGGAAGTCTATTGCAACAAAACCACAACCATGTTCACATTAAGACAAACCAAATTACGTATTCGCATCTGCAGAGAAAAATGTTGAAAGCACAGTACATGTGTCTTGGTTTAGCGGATACATCACCGAACTGGGGAGCATGGTTCGCGGTTCGAGTCTCAGCCGCGGCATTAATTTCCATCGGCAAGATATTATTCTAAAATTGCCACTCTCAACGCAGATGTACTAGTAAATGCGCACCAGGTTGGAAGTCATTTATTGAATGCTTTAAGCGCTTGAAGCTAACTGAGCTCGAGTCAGGCTATTAACGAAACTTGATAAGCGGCTTGAACATCCCGGGCCTGAGATGGATATAAGAGCAGTATGAAGCTAATATAAGTATTCATTATGTTTTATTAAGGGTGGCTATTCAATTCAGGAAACGTATCCCTTATATTGATCGACAATCAGGGACAAATCTCCAAAACCTAATCTCTTTTTATTGAATTTGTTCTCTTCACACAGATGAAGATTCGAAAGATTCTCTTGCAAGTAAGACAGAGATTGAAGAAACAGAACAGGAAATAGAATCAGTAGAAGAGGAACTTAAGGGTAACAACCCCGGCGTTCAACCAGTGCGAAAACGAAAAGGAAAAACAAGCGGCAAAAGACGAGGAAAAACAGGCGGCAGAAGACGCGGAAAAGCTAAAGAGTCAAAATCAGATGACGACACAGAACCAGAAAACGAACCAGTAGAAGAGGCCAAGGGTGACAGCCCCAGCGTTCAACAAGAGCGAAAACGAAATGGAAAAAAAGGCGGCAAAAGACGAGGAAAAACAGGCGACAGAAGACGCGGAAAAGCTAAAGAGTCAAAATCAGATGACGACACAGAACCAGAAAACGAACCAGTAGAAGAGGCCAAGGGTGACAGCCCCAGCGTTCAACAAGAGCGAAAACGAAATGGAAAAAAAGGCGGCAAAAGACGAGGAAAAACAGGCGACAGAAGACGCGGAAAAGCTAAAGAGTCATCAGATGACGACACAGAACCAGAAAACGAACCAGTAGAAGAGGCCAAGGGTGACAGCCCCGGCATTCAACAAGAGCGAAAACGAAAAGGAAAAATAGGCGGCAAGAGACGAGGAAAAACAGGCGGCAGAATACGCGGAAAAGCTAAAGAGTCACAATCAGATGACGACACAGAACCAGAAAACGAACCAGTAGAAGAGGCCAAGGGTGACAGCCCCAGCGTTCAACAAGAGCGAAAACGAAATGGAAAAAAAGGCGGCAAAAGACGAGGAAAAACAGGCGACAGAAGACGCGGAAAAGCTAAAGAGTCATCAGATGACGACACAGAACCTGTTATTGAACCAGTAATACAGGACACATTAGAAGAAACGAAACCTGTGAACAGTGAAGTATTCGAAGAATTGAAGGGTAACAACCCTGGCGTTGAAGTAAAGAGAACTAGAGGTGACAGAATCATAGACAATCAAGATATTGAAGACACAACACAAGAGTCATCTCTGACACCAACTCAAGTTCCACCAACAATTGAGACAATACGAAACACGGGATCAACCGATGAGCCAGGTATACACTTTGTGATAATAGTCATTGATTGACTGAATTCGGTTTTCTATATTTAATTTCTCTCCTGAAATGAAGACAATTCTCTTAAGCACACTTTGGATAGTCATACCTTAATCACATATTCAAAAAACCCTTGTTTCTGAGAAAATGAAAGAATTTAAAAACATTTATTAGAGAGCTCATGGATGAATTGTGAACAAAGACATCGGATTTAATGTAGTAATTTCTTCGTTTTTTTCATTTTTTATTTTATAATTTTGTATTATTATTTTGCTTGAAAAATAAGTCTTGACATGTAATGATACTTTCAATCTGTATTTTTCCTTTTAAAAAATCTTGGCTATTAGGCGTCTGTATATTCAACCTTATCTGGTGATGGTGTATTTTTTACGCGTTGAATCATCCAATTCATTATGTTCTCTTGTGCATTTTCACGCAGAGGTCAAAGAGAAAGTTAGCCAGGACGTAGTAGAGCCGGGTAAGACCCCCTTTTGTCATTTTAGTGAAAGAATACATAAATCATAAGCTTACTTTGGATTAGAAATCGCATACACATGCGTACGCACGCACATACAAACAAGATGCATAGGGTATACTTCAGCGGATCTGCACAAATTCTCTTATTCTCGCCACTTCCATAATTATGTAGGCCTTGTTGAGCACTTAATGTATATTTAATTTAGGATATTCTGAGATGAGTATCAAAACCCATCCTTTCAATTATTTGCTGTTCAAATTTGAAATAAACTTAATAATATATGAGCCCAAAAGTTAACGGGCCCCAAAGTAACGCATATACGAAATTACACTTTTTTCAAACTTAGGTACTACCGTACTGCACTACACTTCTTTCTTGGCAGTCACTCTTCTGATATTGCAATCATATCCCATTATATTCTCATGTCATTTTTTATTTCAGATAATATTTTACACTTAATATGAATGAATTCGGTTAACACTGTGTAATAACTTTGCAACACATTGTTTTCTCTTGTATCTAAGTGCAATAATGTAACTCTCTTTTTCACTTCCATTCTCTTATTTTGTAGTCGTGAAACCGTTCAACGAAGAACCTGGTAAGGCCGTGACCTTAGATTGTTCTCTTCTTTGAATTTTTATACTTCTATTTCTTTCTTTGTCACTGCCCAAACAGTGTGAGATTTGATGTTGTGTGTCTTAACAAGGCGAGATATCTCACACTATGAAAACAACATTGCTATGCATTGTCAAGACAAGCTGACGTTAATCTAACATTAAATATTCAGTTTAGTATTATAGAAAATAAATAATGCACTTAAAAGTTGTGTTCATTCACCAAACTCATTTAGATTTTTCCTTTTCAACCAGTGCAAGATGAAAATCATCCGTATTTTACCTTTCTTTAGTTTGTTTAAAACTCCCTGCACTCCTTTCAAGAAGGAATCTCAGAGTTTACTTATACGTTCTGCTAGCTAAACAAAAGCAGAACATTAACCCTTTGTGGGACACCAAGGTATTGGACAGTTATTCATAATGAACTTTTAGAAGATAAACTTTGACTTGAAATAATTTGTTTTATTGATATTCTTGGCAAAAATATTTTGCACAGATATAAACTTCATCGAGAATTAATTTGCTATTTCTTTGCTGTAGCTCTTCTGTAATGTTCATTATGCATTTTTTTTTGGTAATCGTCACAAAAAATAAGTTTTACGCGAAATATTTAATTTTTATTTTCTTCAGATAAGTCAGCCACTCTTGAGACCAACGTACTTGGCGTCGCTGCGTTCTTCGATCAAACCTTGGATATAGATCGTTTATTACAGCTTCAGTTTGATTTCAGTGTCACCATTAACACCGGTTTCGCTATCCTCTTGACACAAGGACAAATTCTTAGGGGAGATTATTACTCAATCGGTGAGAATAGTTGCTGTTCTGTTTGTTCATAACTTTGGTTATAAGATGCTTTTCTGACCATGTTGATTACATATTTTATTTTCGTTCAAAGACAACTACTTTTTCACGGACCCATTTGTAAACCGTTCATGTTCAGCTTTAAGTTAGACCACGAGGCCGCCATTCTTGCAAGACTTACTAATGCAGACTTTGTCCATGTTTTACCGAAGTCAAGTTTCACCTCATCTTTTTACTTCGAGAGATATATTTATCAAAAGTCAATAGTCGAATGTAAGAGATTGATGGTGAGATACTTATATTGGATTTGAATATATTCTTTTATTTTCAATTGTTTATTTGTGTGTTTGGCAGGTATAACCGAGGGAAACGTCTACATGGTCCAGCGATGTAATAAGGAAACAGCGGAATGTAATCGACTCTTCAGCAGGAAAATTGATCCACTTGTACGTAATTACAGTATTCCTAATGAATTTTATCAAAAATTCACTCTAGATAATCAGTTTTTGGTGCGCTTAACGATCCGCAATTCCCCCCCCCCCCTCAAAGCATGCACCTCCCTGTCATTGTAATTAACTTTAGGTCAATAATGATCCGTCTTTTTTCGATATTTTTTATTCGTGTGTAATATCTTAATTAATTTGCATTATTAATTAATTTATTAAATTGAATTGAATCGAATTTATACACCACTTTCATAAAAACAAACAAAGGCAAAGAATACAATAGTTTCTTGCAAACAGATAAACCAATAAAATGGAAAATACACAATACATTATTGCATTATTGTAAGTTTTTTATTAAATCGACATGTAATATCAATTCAAAAAATCAAATCGAATCAAACTGATCTCTGTTCTTGATACTTGAAGGGTGAAGGAACAGGAATATTCACGCTGAAGATTCAGAAGATCCTAAATGGCAATGTAGACCCTGATGCTGATGGAGCATACTCCTACTGGTTTTCATTGCTGTATGAAGGAGCTGTGGTCGGAGAACAGGTGGAAGTACAGTATCCAAATACATTCTATATTAGGTACATTGGATGCATCTCCTACAAGTACGTGGCCACGTGGAATCTCTTCTCTGTCGTCTCACCGGGTAAGTACATGACAGTGTTGGCCTATATACGCATTCAGTCAATCTAACCCTTCCTCTGTCAATGTGACGTGCCACAATTAGTGTAGCTAAAGAGAGAGAGAGAGAGGGGGGGGGAACAAGGGAACGAGCGAGAGAGAGGGCAAGGAGAGAGGGGAGAAGAATTGTAGAAAACAGTCTTTAAGAATAGATGGAAGACCCACGATATAACCGGGAAAATTAGTATGAGACAAAGACGGATAGAAAGAGAGAGAGAGAGAGAGAGAGAGGGAGAGAGAAAGCCTCAAAAAGAAAAAAAACAACAAGTGAACGGTATGGATATAATTAAGGGTGAGCGCTTGTCCGAGAGAAGACATGACGTAGAGAAGGGTAACAAGAAACCGGGCAAAATTTGTAGATGATTTTAGAAATAGAGAAAAGCGATAGGGAAAATAAAATACGATAGAGAGAGGGTGGCGTGAGGATTTTGTCATTTTGAAATACGTACAGATAGGCAGATTTGTAATACAGGGAGTCATATGAAAAGCCTACGTGCGAGTCATCAGGTTCAATACTGTGACATACGACCAGTCCTTACGTCCAGTTTCCGTCTTTATTTTACCTCTGTTGTACAGGTTCTACCCAGAGATCCTCTGCAATCATACTCCGGAACGCCGAAGAAACAAGTAGTCTGGAGGTGAATTCATTTGATCGCGAAGTTGTATTCAGTGTCAAAGCCCAAGATTTTTTGATAATTCGTCTTTACTCCGTTGGCGACGTCGTCTACACAATCCGTGAGTTGAAAGAAGTTACTATCCTGATTTTATTTAACTTCATTTTTATTTTTAATTAAACTAACTATAATATTCAGGCTAACAACATCAGTTGTAATAAATCTGTTTACTAGCATTTTTTTTCGAATTTGGAATGTTTCTCCCCTCACTGTTAATGTCTATGACTTTGACGTAATTATATGTGCAATATGGAATTTGTAAAACATAATTAAACATCTATTAGCACTGCAATATTGAGCAATCTTGATTTGTTATGACTTTAACGAAGGGAAGGAGTTCAAGTTCAGGCATATTCATTATGTGCATTGAACATAATATGCAGCAAAAGAGAGTTTACCGCACATGGTGAAAACGAGCAAAATATTGATGAAATAATCGGGGTTTATTTAACGACAGATATCTTATATAATTATGAGCTGTAAACAACACACAATTGACAGATGTATAAAGAAACTATGCTTTTCTTAGCTAGTACATCCCTTTAATGTGTTTGTTTACAAATTAGCAATTGTACATAAATATAAGGAATTCAAGATAAAATATCATAAGTAAATACAATGACCTATTGTTGTATATCACTAAACATATCGTTTAAAAGGCATAAGTAGTTAGTGGGGAAAGATCAAAGAGAAATAAGTTGACAGGAGACAGTTATTACAATAGTTTATATGAAACAAATTCTTCTAAATGCCCCGTAATTTTCATACTTGGATTCTTCATGCTTTTGAAGATTTATAATCGATTATCATGTTGGATTTCAAACCATTATCCCAAAACGCTCATTTTCTTACCGCTTACAATTTCTTTCTGTAACAAAGTCGTTGGAGACGAAGGCAATAACTATGTTACGGGATCGTCCGGTACTGGTGATAAATCTCCGGATGACGCGTCGCGTCGCGTTGAAGGAGGTGTGTTAAGCTTGGCGGGCAAGCAGTACTACCTTTCTTGGCGAAACGGCAGGATGAAGTTCGGCGAAACGGAGGAGGACAGCGAGGCGATGATGAATTGGGAGATTGGGGAAATCTCGGTGACTAAGCTAGAATTCATTGCTGCTTACGACAGCTTGTATCTCATACACACATACAAGTACTTCTACGTATTTGGTTAGTAAAACTAAACTTTTTCATATTATATTGATATATAACACTGCAGTGTTGGTATTGACGCAATCGTCTCGGTATCTCCAATAAACAACGACACCAGTAAAATGTTGAAAAACACGAAAACAGAAGTTGTATTAGGTCCATGGTTCCATCCTCTTCAACACTTTGTAATTCTATTGAGATTGAATAAATTCAAGTATTTTTTTTGTCATGAATGAGTATTCAATTTACATACAGAAATAACCACAAGCGTTAAAAATATTGCTTTAATTATATATGCTTATATAGCGCCGAACACTTACTTTATCAGAAGTCTCTAAGCGCTCTACAATAATGCAGCATTATATTAGCAGTGCAGCTGTTACGCGCGCTGCGTTTCAAGGAATAAATTCCTACCAGATACCCATTTACTTCAACTGGGTGGAGTGTGGCAAATAAAGATTAATGTCTTGCCAAAGGACATTGTGCGGCGGCGGGACTCTTAATAGTTAAGATGCACTAGATTGATAAATTTCAAGTGGGTGTTATTGCCTAGGCCTCTTGGTATCAAAGTACTTTATTTTTCCTTTACGTGCACAGAATTCATCTTGAAAAAGCAATTCATGTGTTTCATTATACGCTTCCTTAGTATGCTTACCATCGTACTCGTCGTTTATTACAGGTTCAATTTGTCTAATTCCCCCTCTTGTCTATCCTTCAAATTGTTATCACCGTTAAGCCGATCATAGGTGAACCTGGATCAAACAAGAAACTACATGCCCCAATTACACCTTCATCACCCGTACAGTCTATTTGCATAATAATAATACTCCAAACAATATGGTGGTCCAGGGTTTTGATACGTGACGCATAAAAAAGTGTTAACCATTTCCTTCTTTTCAAACTTTTAGGCGATGTTTTGCAGGCGACTCATGATCGAATACGGGCAACTTCTCTCACTTTCTTCACTCTCCGTCGCGAGCGTGGCGTGCCATACATCCACCTCAAGATCAAGGCCTCTGGGACTGTCTTGATTGCGCTCGCCAAAGACCAGGAGCTTTCTGAATCCGACATGGTTTTGATCAGTAAGTCCACTGATAATTGGTTTGCAGTAACCATAGCAACGTAATAATTGAATTTTAGTTTGTTTTTGTTGTTGGTTGGGTCGCACTCTTTCTGTTTAGATGATAATCTGAAGATTATTTTCGCTCTACATTGGTGTGTGCGTGTGGGGGGAGGGGGAGGGGGGAGGGGGGAGGGGGAGGGGGGAGGGGGGAGGGGGGGGGTAATTTCACAAAGCCCCTTGCACACGTCACGTAATTTGTCTGATGTAGAACGTCGTCAGTGACTGGCGGCATCTATGATCTGTCCGTCACGTGCAATATGAGAGTGATATTGTATTCGAAGTATATTTGAAATGTTGCTCCACTAAACGTTATCATTGATAAACTATATTGTTAGATTAAGTGGTATAATGGAATACTCTGCTAGAGATTGGAAATGGTGTATACAAAGTCATAGTGAGCGTGAAATAAATCCGTCAACTTGGGCAAGAATTATTATGGAAAAAGATATATCATTATACATGTAGTAACCTATTCTCAAGTTACTCTTTCCTATTGAATATCAAGTTTTATCTTGCTGTGTTATTTCAAACGTCTTTCTATTTTCCCATTTTCAGAGATGAGTTCCCGGAGGATAACTCTCTCCACATGCCTTGGTTGCGAAACAATCTACTCGGTTCCGATCCCTAAAGACCAAGCGGCCCTTCTAGATCCGTCCTCATTCCTTGAGTACCAGATCACGTGTGAAGGCAACAGTCTGAAGATCTTCTTAACCGGTCAGAAGGAACCCTTGCTGGACTATGGTGGCATTGATCGAGACGCCCACTATGGCTATGATGGCTTCGGAGGAACTATCGGTAGCAATTATCACATCAAGCTCAACCAAGGTGAGTTATAATTATATCAAGTTTTTCCATTTTATTGATGATGAGGTACCCAGAAAGTATAAATGACAAGGGTTATACACCTATTCATCAATGTTTTCAATGAACACAGCCCCCCCCCCCCCACCCCTCTCTCCCCCTCTCTGAACCAATTTACTTTTCAGAACAGTACTGTAATATTGGGAATAAGTTTAGTATTAATGTTATTATTGGAATTATGTATTATTATTGCTGTATGTTCATTTTACGTTGTACTTTTCAACATGCTTCTACAAAATTCACCAAAAACATGCTGAACACTGACCAATGTAAAGAATAGAAATACAAATTATAATTTTCCTTCAAGCAAATATTTCCTTTAATTCTATATCATTGTCTGATATTTTACTATTGGTCCAATCGAAATCTCTGGACAGTGTGCATGCGGGAGCGTGCATGTGTGTGTGGGTGTATGCGTGTGTGCTCAAAGTGAGTTAAAATTCCTTTGATAGACTCCATACCTGTGGTGATATATTCTACGAATGAATGTGACAAGCTAGGATATAACCCACCCCAAATAATTACATTGACTGTTGAGCAAGGTTTGCTGTATAACACCACATATGCTTTCGACAGGATTGCTATCATCGCCTACATTTTATTTTAAAAGACTGGTTGACATAATTGCGTTTGTCTAAATTCTTGCAGGAACGATCTACAGAGAGGAGCATTGTCTTGACGTCAACACCTTCTTGGGTGGAGGAACGAAGCTTCTGAAGATCGTCCACTCTGACCAGATGATTGCTTTATTTGATGCTGAGAAACAGCTCGAGGCAGAGCTTGGTAAGCAATGAGAACTCTGTTCTGTATCTTATGTAGATGTTAAAGTAATCCGATAAGTAATAAATAAATGTCTAAATTGGCGCAGGTATATATAACGCAAAGGACATTATAAATCGTATGCCTGTGTCGGGGCCTTGCTGTACCAATGCCTTGGCGTCAAAGTTGATCTCCTTCATTCGAAAGTTCTTTTCTCTAGATATGATCATAAATTCCACCAAAGTGGAATATCATTATTGCAGAGACTTTCAAAACATGAACTTTTAAGTTCTGTTGCATTGCCCATACTACAGAAATCCTGTTTATCACGTAATATGTCATTGTAATATGTACGCGCATATCAATATAGATGACGCACACGGCTGGTAAAAATGCCCGATGTTGATTATTTAGGTTTTTTTTATTGGCTTCAGCATTGACAACAACAATAATACAAATAATACACAGCAGTTAGGGCATTAGTGCGTAATTTTACTCATGCCCGAACAAAATGATATGTATTATTTGTTTTATAAGATGTTTTATTTGTTTTATAAAATTATGTTTTATAATATGATTTTGATAATGACCGGTCCTTACCATTGGATAATGACCGGTCATCATCCAAATTACGCGTTAGGCAAAATAAATGCCTGCGTGGTCGCGTGTACGTTTTCAAGCAATCATTTGATTGTTATCCACGTCATCATCTTATAAATATAGATATCTGAGCTCTGAAATAAAGTAAGCTTCTGCTCGGACCGCATCTTACCATTATATGCTTTCTCTCCACTGCATTTCCATTCCAGCCATGGAAGATACGAAGACGGAGCTGCGTACTACCCGTGGTGGCGAGGCCGTTCAGATAAGCCAAAGTAGTAGTTGCATCTTCCACGCTCCCTACACTCTAGTCTGGATGGACTTCAGCGGTGGGGCTATTCGGTATGGTACCTACGACGAGGCGAATCGCCTGAGAAGTGACCCGTGTATCACCTACGACCTCGGTGATGATCAGGAGGTCAAATACATGTCGTTTGGTCAACAGCATTCCTCGTGGGATGTTACACATCACGTGATTGAGAAGAGGATTGTGTACAAGGAGTTGGTCTCCCATGTACAAGAGCCTTAGACATACCCTTCAAAGCAACCACCACTTTAATTTGTGCCTGTAGTATTTTTATGTTAACTTTGGTTAAGAGGGAAAGGTATTACCTGTTACCAAATATTAAAAAGAAGCATGCTGAAACTATTTCTCATGGATATCATTTTTTTTTCATCTAAATTCATTATCAAAAAGTCAATATTTTCCTTACATTAGGCAAAATCATAATTATTTCTTGCATCACTTACCAATTAAAAGTAAACTTTTCCTCTTATTTCTCCTTTCCTTGGCAAAGGCGAGGAAGAATTTGAATATCGAAACAACTGAAAAGAAAACAAGCAAAACAATTTATAAAGGCATGCTAATGATTCTATTAATTAAAATTTATATTAACAGTGCCTTACAAATATAATGTATACATTTCACGAATATAAATGCTAATATGCTATCAATTATTTTCACTTTTTGGAGTGGTGTGTTGCTAACGGCTTGAAATGACAATGACTTAATGGCATATCTATGAAATTTCATTAGTTTGTAAACTTTTGAAATTAGTATTGTATTAATAAGTAAACTTTAATGAACATTTTTAATTAAGACTTATTTGCGTAGTATGTAATACATTCAAGTTTTTAAATGCTATAAAGATGTGCAATAACTTAAAGAAGAAAATTACAGAAAGGTAATATCGGCTCGGTGTAAAAAATATCAGAGGTGAAGATGTCAGAGGTAAATATGTCAGAGGTAAAGATGTCACAGGTAAAGATGTCACAGGTATAGATGTCAGAGGTAAAGATGTCAGAGGTATCTCTCAAAGACATGACAAGAAAAATGAATCATGGGGTAGTATATTTTAGTGTATTGTATATTTCTGATCTTAGGCCAATGGCTTATATTCGTAAGTTTGACATGTTAAAGTAATTTGTAAGGGAAATTTGCTTAAGTTTTATCCTGAATGTAGATCTATAAATTATCTTCTAGAACAGGGGTTCTCAAACTTTTTCCTTGACGGTCCAGATGTGAATTTTATAAAAGGGTCCGAAACATGGGATACCATTTGCGCAAAAATTCTTCCGGTCATTCGTATACGTTAAATGAAGTAGAACAACTATCGTCAGTATTACTTGCTGGAAAGTCGGACACGACTCCAACATTGCTCAATTTTGGTTCAGACTCGGACAATTTACTCCTAAAATTTACATTAATGACACTTGTCAGTAATTTGTTTTCACGAAGTGACGGTAGTGAGGAAAATCGTCACGCAAAGTGAATGCAATTTTTTTTCTCTACCGTCACTTCGTGAAAACAGCGACGAGTTGTGTACTAAAGAAAATAAGGCTTGTTTAGGTCTTTATCTGATCTAAGGGGAATTGTTGGTCAAAAAAAATAATGTTAAAAAAGCAGTACAGCCTCCCGGGCGGTCCGAATGCGGACTTTGAGAAGCCCTGTTCTAGGACTTAAATTTATTTCATGTAACTTTCAGAGCACATGCACATGCTCCTCTATCTTCTTGCATACAATGAAAAAGTAAAAAAAAAATGGTAATAAAATTGGTGAAAGGGAAATTTGCTTTCATTATTGTTTTATTCATGAATTGTAGGCATGACGATGACTACAGTGAAAACTGTCCTCATTAATTCGATGTAGATACAATATAGAATTGAAGAAACAAAGCCGATTGTGTGACAGAGAGGCATAATGGGTATGTGTGTGTGTGTGTGCGTGTGCCCATGTGTGTCCCTTGGGTTTTCACATCGTCTTTTAAAGCCAAATCCAGTTATATTTTTAATGGGACTAACTTAAATTGTCACAATAAGGCAGAGGGATGGAGAAATAGATAAAGGAAGAGGAGAGAAAGAGATTTGGAGAGCGGAATCGTGAGAGAGATAGAGAGAGAGAGAGAGAGAGAGAGAGAGAGAGAGAGGGGTGAATGAGAGAGGGCTTTAATAAGAGGCATGGCAAAAGAAACAATGCAGGTCAGGAACAGGGGAAAGAGTCACAAAACAGAACAAAGTGTATAAAGAAACACTGAGAAACACTGAGAAGCATAATTATGTGGGTATGTGTGCGTGCGTGTGTGCGTGTGCAAAAATTGTGTCACTGGGCTTTCATATCGTCTTTCAAAGCCAAATCCAGTTATATTTATAAGGGATTAACTTAAATTGTCACAGTAAGGCAGAGGGGTGGAGAAATAAATAAAGGAAGAGGAGAAAAAGAGATTTGGAGAACGGAATCGTGATAGAGAGAGAGGGGGGGGGGGTAGGGGGGGGGGGGTAAATCAGAGAGGGCCTAAAAGACATGGCAAAAGAAACAATGAAGGTCAGGAACAGGGGAAACAGTCACAAAACAGAACCAAGCAGAATTTAGTGTTTATGAAACAATGCTGATTGTCTGACAGAGAGGCATATGTGGGTATGTGCGCGTGCGTATGTGCGTGTGCGGTGTGCCCATGTGTGTCACCGGGCTTTCACATCGTCTTTTAAAACCAAATGCAGTTATATTCATAATGGGACCAATTTAAATTGTCACAATAAGGCAGAGGGATGGAGATATAGATAAAGAGATAGAGAAATAGATTTTAAAAAAGAGGAGAGGAGAGATTCCGAGAACGGAATCGTGAGAGAAAGGGGGTGAATCAGAGAGGGCTTTAATAAGAGGCATGGCAAAAGAAACAATGAAGATCAGGAACAGGGGAAAGAGTCACAAGGCAGAACCAAGTGATTGAAAACATAAATATCTGGCTCTATGCTTGTAATGGAAAGATACTTATTTTGGGGTTCCTCATGTGTTCAGCCTCCAAAGGCCCATGCTGCCTATCAATTTTCATTATGAAGAAACCTTGATTTATTCAGTGATATTCGAAACTAATTTTGTATACTGCTCTTTTCATTTTTACATTCGATACACAGTATTAAAACAAAATCAATTCAAATTAATTTGTAAAGTTTGCTTTTAAAACTCAGCAAAGTCACAACAAGAAAGCTTCATGTATTTTCTTATATTTATCTCTCTCTCTCTCTTTTCTTAGCTTACCTGAGTCAAAGATTCAAGTAAGCTATTGTCCGTTGTCCGTAAGCTTTGTACATTTTCAACTTCTCCTCAAAAACGCATGGCCGGATTTTAACCAATCTTGGTAGGAATCATCCTCAGACAAGGGAGATCTAGAATTTTTCAAATAATGTACATTTACCCAAAAGGGGCCCGGGGGCAGCGCATCTAAAATTCCTCAGTGGCAGTAATTGCAACAACAAAATCTTCTTCTTGAAAGGGGGGTTGGGGAAAACCATCAATATCTACCATTCAAACAGCAATGCAAGCACGGCAAATTAAAAAATGCACGCATTCACTGTCAAAAAAGAGTTTTACAAAATGTTCTATTTGAATCAAGGATATCTCTTCAAAATGCTTGGTTATCCTCATTTGTTATCGTATATTCTGATAGATCATGAAGTGTAGATATGTTTTCATAGCAAAATGTTGGTATGAATTCTGGCTAAACATTGAAGGAATCCTTTTTATGTAAAGAAGGCCTAAATTTGTTTGAATACGATACTTGCTCCTGCATGGAACTTGGGAGCAGCATCCTTAATTTGCCCCACTGTTCCAAAAAATCGTATGCCCCTGATGTAGAGGGAATGGGAGCTTGGTCCCTTATTGCAAGGCCCATATTTCCAGGTGACCTCTTTTATTGTGGGGGGCTCATGACAAGTCACATTTAACTCATTTAAGCTCTCCCCTCTCAATTCCTTTTTTACGAATAAGCCTATTACACATCTCTATCATTACAATATGACCAACATTATCTTTATCTTCATCTACAACATTATTAACATCCTCAGTGTAGCAATCTGCGAATCTTCACACAGACGATTCCACTCCAGTCTCCTTTGTCTCTTCCTATCTAAACCCATTTTCACTTATCTCTTTGCACTCTCTCTCTCTCTCTCTCCTTGCAAGTCCAGGGGATCGTTTCACAAAAACTAAGATTGATTTAAGTTGGACTTGATTTATCGCAGGCTGTTCAAGCCACTAGTTCCTCTAACCATTCCTAGCATTGGTTTCTCAAGGGACGTACAAATCTTGATCACAATGCTACAGAATTTACATTTTTTGATAGTTCAATATTGAGGGAAATTCGTTATTGAGACCAATGGCGAGTGCAACCAGTAGTGGCATGAATGGCCTGCCATATTTTAAGTCCAACTTAAGTCGATCTTAGTTTTTGTGAAACACTCCCCAGGAGACAAAAAGCAATACATTTACCAATACGTTTGGAACTACGTGTAGACATAAGAATCACAGAATCATTTGGTTCAAACTATTGTGCAAAAGTTTTTTTTATTAAAGACAAAGGCACTGTCATGATACAGCCAAAACAGAATTGAATTAATGATGATGGAATTATTGATATAATGTCACAAGTACTAGATGTGAGAGCAACATGAAGCCATAAAAAAACATGGCATTGTGACTCATGTGGCATCCTAAGAAAAATTTCTAATATAAATCTTCTAGTAAATCAAGTGCACAATTTATATCTTGTTACTTGTTACTTGAATATTCAATGGAGTTTCTTAACTGGTAGATAAAAATATTTATCACATATCTTTCTTCAACGTTACTGCAGTTGAATTATTTATCTGGCTAGAAATAAGGTTTATATTTACACTCCAAATTTTGGAGATGGCAAGGAACATTGGGAAAATTAATATGATACATTATGATGAAGATATTAGATTACTTACATGGGAATCACTTTATCATTCTATGAATGTCACAGAAGCCTATAACTTGCTTGAAAAAGTATTGAAAGGTGTAATGGATAAGCATGCTCCTCTAAAATGCACTCAAATAAAGAAAAAAGAATTCACCGTGGGTCTATGATAATATAATACAAACCAAACCATTCGTGAGCATAATGAGACAAAGCATTAAGCACAACATAACAAATTGCTTAATGATTGGGCATCGTTTCAGAGACTGAGAAATGATGTAACACCGAAGATTTTGAGAGCTAAGAAAGATTACACCTCTATTTCAATTACAAGTAGCAATGGTCAATCTACAAAAGTATGGAAATCTTTGAATTATGTTATGGCTCAGAAGAAAAAATTATCAAATCTGAAAGTTTTCAATCATACATGCACCCTCGATATAATCATTGCACGTAGTACTTATGTTTTACACAATCCCTGAATGAAACAAATATTCCTTCTTCCCTTCTTTCATAACTTAGAAAAATATTAGGCTGATCACAGTGCATGCACAGTTACAGATTGTCTCAGACAATTTCTGCAGTATAAGAACTCATTTGGCATATAATGAGCAGAAAGTAAACAGCTTGCTGATCAAAATGAAAAACACAATGACAGACCGTTGTATAGTCAACAAGAAATTAGTGAGACTCTTGGAGGACTGGCGGGAAAAAAACTCTCCCTAAAGTTGTTGAAAGATGGGAATCTTTACGCCTTGAAATGAAGGAGAACATGACAGCAATCAATAATCTTTATTGTGGAAAGCATGTTGTTCTAAACTTGCAAGAGTACCTATATCTATTCAGAATTTCAATTATAGTATTGATGAATGTCTTGAAAATTTATCCTGCGAAAATAAGAATATTTATGTTAAGGGCGATTTCAACATAAATTTTCTTAACGTTAGATCCAATAATTGTATCAATCATTTTGTTAACATTTTATGAGATAACTCATTCCGTCCCTAAATAGACAAGCCCACACGAATTACCACAAAATCTGCAGCTTTTATCGACGATATCCTAACTAATGCACACCCTTCTCCAATTCAGTCTGGGATATTCTACAGTGATTACAGATCATCTGCCCATATTTCAAATAACTAACTTATACTGTGAACAATCAACCCACAAATACCCTCTCCTATCATACATAAGACTGATTTATCATCTATTAATTCTATGAAGAATGATCTATCCAGTGTTTTGTGGTCCGTGAACAATATAGGTATCAAAGGAACAGAACCATCGCAGGAATAAAAACCACATTGCCACATTCCAGAGCATCAATTCAAACTAATGACGTCCGTCTGGATCAACTAGGACAATGTAATCGTACTAGG